AATATTACAATTTTGTTCTTTTTGCAAACCAAAATGATTGAACAAAAAAAATATGTTAGAAATACAATGGGACTTTAGATAACTTTGTTAAGTATTTAAAAATTTACGTTATCTTATTGACTGAAATATTGTCCAGTGTATGTCTGTTTATTTGGTGTCTGTGCATTTGTAAATGGCCAATATACAATTTTGTGCCATCGGCCACCAAAAACTGAGGGCCACAAGAACAACAAAAGGCTAGAAAACACAACAACCACAACAAAAACTGCAACAACTACAACAACAACGACTGCAGTAGCGAAGGTCGTCGCCGTCATTTTATATTGCTGCCTCTGCCACAGTCACAGTCGCAGTCGACGTCTCAGTCGACGTCGACGCTGAGCATCGCAGAATTCCACATAGAAAATTGAGAAAACTGCATTAAATTTTCGTTTCCTCCGCTTCCTCCTTTACCTGCAATTTCCACCATGCTTCAGCCCGTTTCGCTCTCCCTCCAATTTTACCGCCCCAACTCCCCAGCCCACTTTTCTATATTTCATTTAATCCCCCACCAATTCCCTTTTCGCCCTCTTTTTGTTTTGGCTATGAGTTTGCTTTTTATTCACTATGGCCAACGTTTTAAATACATATATTCAAGCTAACAATAGCGGTCAACCCGATGCTAATGCATACAAAAAGCATTTGAATTATATTTCAAATACAGTGCTAGCTCGATAGGGACATACATAAGTATTTATGTGTGTATGTATTTGGACTTTTAATTTATATACATACATACATATGTGTAACGATTGACCATAGTCAAAATTTTTAGTGTGCATACTTTGGCAATTGAACGGAACAAAGCAAAATAGTCAGATCATGGATTGAAATTTTTTTATGCAAGATCCAGAGGAATTTCTGGCTCCTTACGAGACAACTGATAAACATGGATCCACTGGTGCAACCCTGAGACCAAGGACCATTTGAAACAGTGGACTTTACCTGGCGGAAGTGTTTTAAAGATGGCGAAGACGATCGCATCGACCAAAAAGTTGATAGACAGTTTTCTGGGATGCACAAAATTTGATCTTCAATAGGAACAAAGGAATTTTGGGAGAAAGAACAGAAAACGCTAAACGCAAATAATAGCTGTCGAAAAGACAGAGGAAAATTATTGGGGAGAATAACAAATAGCTGTCAAATAAAATGTTCATTTCAATATTATTTAAAAGATTTAAAAAAAACATGAAACATGATTAAAAAAGATCAAGAATCAAGGACTTGCACAGTGCATAACCTCTTGCATTTTATCTAGTCTGTGTATGTCTGTAAATATATCATGGTAAAATAAGTAAACTAATTTTTCTCATTTACCTTTGTTGTCTTCTTAGTCGTTTGACCTTTTCTCAAATTATTGTTGAACCCTGTTTTTGAGCCCTTGTCTCTGTTCTTCAGCACATTCTTATCGTAGTTCTCCCGCTTCCCCTAGAAAAGTCACTTTGCACGGAAGAGCAACTACAACCCCTGGGAACTTTGCCCACGCCCACTTTATCCGCCCGTTTTGCCACCACCACACACATACACAATAGCTACATATGTATGTATGTATGTATATAGACTGACATAAATATAAATATAAGAGTGTCAAAAATATCCAGAGGTATTTTTGTTGGTGTTTCAATTATTCATAAAATTGGTAACAAACATACGATTTAAGTCAAATATGAGCTACTTCTTCTCCAGAACAAAAAACTGAATTGGGTCCATAAACTACACAAATTTTATAGGCGGCTTGAGATGCATTTATGCCTTTCCGTAGTAGTACTGTAAAATAGCCGGATTTTCTCTTTGTTTTGCTCCATGTCTGCGAAGCTTTAACTCGCGAAGGATTAAACCAAACAACAAACTACCGCTAGACTTATTTGATACCCTTCCATGTATGTACATACATACTTACATACATTTATGGATGTACATACATATACACATCCGCATCGTTTCTTCACCTCCTCCTCTGCTTCTCCTCCTTTTTACCTTCTCCCATTCTCCTTCCATCTGTCTTTTTATGAATGTATCTGTATGCTTTCGAAACGGGGCCTCGTCAAGAGACTATCCAAGTTGTGTGTTGCACGTTCACTGAAAACACATACATACATATGTATGTACAAACAATACAAACATACAAGCATATGTACAGTCAGTCACAAAAGTATTCGTTGCAAAGGGGGTTAAGAGAAAAATGCAAATTTTAAATAAGAAACAGTTTTAAAATGGTAAAAAATGGTTTACGTTTCCAAAGATATATATTTTGTGAAGTATGTGGAAAAAAAAAACCAAACAGAAAACGCTTTCCATGAAAAGATAAGGACAAAAATACAAATATAAACCGTTTTGCAGGGTCACAAAAGTATTCGTTGCCTTACGAATTTTTTATATTTTAGTATTTTTTAAGTTAGCGAATATTTTTTTTTTGTCATTTTGGTTGCGTTTCTATTTTAAAGACTGAATTCGGGGAAAAACACTATTTTTTGGCGTCATTCTTTGTGTAAATCTCTAGCAAAATGCCGAAGGGAACAGAGTTAAACTTTTCACAAAAAAAAAATTATTTTGCACCTACATAATTTAGGTCGATCCATTAAATATATTTGTGGGATGTTCGATAGAAGTCCTTTTACCATAAGGAGTCTCATTTCTCGACTGAAATCCAGGAATTCCCTGGAAAATCTTCGCCGTTGCGGCCGTCCGAAAGCATTAACCTGCAGAGAAGAGCGGAAAATCCTCGAAGAAAACAAGAAAAATCCGCACCTTTCGGCTCCGAAAATTAATAGTGTCCTAACCACATCCCTGGGAACTAACGTATCCACTGAAACCGTCCGAAGAGTGCTCAGGAGCCAAGATCTGCATGGGAGATGCCCTAGAAAGAAACCCTTGCTCTCAGCCATAAATATATCAAAGCGGCTTTCTTTTGCTAAAACGTATTTAGACCGGAATTTGGAGTACTGGGACAAGTAATATTTAGCGTTGAAACCAAATTCCATATATTCGGATCTGATGGAAAAGGAAAAGTGTGGCGAAAGCCCTGTGAAGAGCTTAAACTGAAAAATGTTAAACCAACGGTGAAGCATGGCGGCGGTTCCGTATTAGTTTGGGGCTGCATGTCCGCTCAAGGAGTTGGAGAGTTGGCTTTCATAGACGGAATTATGAGTGCTGAAGGATATCTCAAAATATTAAAGGAAAATTTACACTCCAGTGCCACCAAAATGGGTCTAGAAGGCGGCAAGTTCATTTTCCAACAGGACAATGATCCCAAACATACGGCTTGGAAAGTCAAGAAATGGCTGTTGTTTAAGGGGTTATATCCAGTTGCGATTTTGAAAAAATCGAAATTTTTTTTTTGCCTATTTTGAATGTATATATATCTAAGAAGATTATCTGAAAATTTCAAAGTATTCCGGTAAATAGTATTGGAGTAATCAGTGTATTTGTAAAGACGTCTCCCATGTAGTTCAACTAGTAGCCAAAACTTTAAATGCGTTTTTCTCGAAACTATGTCTTCAAAGTCGGTGAGCAAAATTTCTCAGAGACGGCTTGTCCGATTGACTTGAAACTTTCACATTCTCTTCTTAGATATTTTTTTCAGGTAATGAAACTTGGAATTTTGGCTCCGACAAAAACTTCGATTTTTTTAGCCACTTCAAAGTTGAAATTTTTGTGCCAAAAACAAAGTTTTATGTTTGGGAAGCCGCCATTTTGTCAAAAATCAAAATTTTGAAAATCCCAAGTCTCATTACCAGCATTTGTCTATTCTTTACGTAATCCTTTTGGTTTTTTGCAATTCAGATAATTTGGACCGGAGAAATTTTGCTCACCGCAAAACCTTTTTTTGAAGTGGACCCTCGGGAGATCCTCTACAGGACCGACGGAGTCCAAAATTTTTTTTTTTTTTAAATATATTCTAAAACTAGAAATAATGACCTATCTTTTCATATATATTACGTATTCATACAATAAATTGCCTCTCCAAAAATAATTTTCAAAAAAGCTCATTTTTTTGGCCTCACAACTGGATATAACCCCTTAATACCAAGCAGATCCACACTCCTCCACAAAGCCTAGACGTCAACCCTATTGAAAATCTTTGGGTCCATCTTAAGCTAAAAGTCCAGGAACATAAGATTTCCTCCAAGAATGAGCTAAAAGAGATATTGCTGAAGGAATGGTCGAATATACCCGAAGTGAGGTGCCGAAAACTACTGGAGTCAAAGCCGAGGCGCTTACAACCTATTAAAGAAAACAACGGCTTGCACACAAAATACTAAATTTAAAAAAAAAACATAAATATTTAATGCCGAAACAAAAAAACGAATACTTTTGTGAGACGATATTTTGAAGTTCTCTTATTTTCTAAAGGAAAAAAAAGCAATGAAGCTAATTTTCTAAAAAAATTTTGTTATTTTTTGTATGTTTAATAAGTGCGTTACCCCAAACAATAAATAAAAATATTAATTTGTTACATATTCATTAAAAAAAACATGTATTTAGTTGTAGGGTGCCTCGCAACGAATACTTTTGTGACTGACTGTATGTGTATATCTGCATATAACCACTTTTATACAAATTATTGTTTTATACTTTTTAATTTAATGATGAAAATTTTTTTTTTCGAAAACTGCGATTTTGCGTATTGACTAGGATTAAAAAATGAAAGATAATAGTTTCGCCATTTTGGAAAAAGTTTGCAAATAATGGAAAAATCGATTTTGCAAAATTTTGGAAAAAAAAACAATTTTCCGAAACTTGAATAAGCTGACCTGCATAGTAACATAAAAGAAATTGTATTTGCCGTCGCAATTAAGTTTTTTTTTGATCATATTATATTTAATAACCTTAAAAAACATTTTTTTTTAAATTAAAAAAAAAGTGTGACGAGTACCGGTATTAAAATTTAAAACATCCTTATTTCGCTTTTGATATCGATAAAGATGCTCAGTTATAAAATTGATAATTGATATGATGTTCATAGTGGCGCGGCGGCTTCTTCGGGCTATCGGTTATCGCCGCTGTTTCGACCAAAACAAAAGCTTACACATTGGAAATATGGGCGACGCGACTTCTCCGGCGGATCAGCGGAATGTGGAGGTGAAGGCACGGATTTCAGGCGGTGCGGAGGGCTTTGAGGCACGACTGATCCTGGCCAGAAACCTAAGTGGCTGCCAGAATGCGGAGCTAATCGAGCAGCGTGACGTGTTTTTTAAATCTCCGCTGGGCGGACGCCTCAAACTGCGCTATCTAAAGGCTCCAAGCCGCTCCCAATTGGTATTCTACGATCGTCCGGATGTTGCGGGTCCTAAGCTCTCCACGTTTAATTTGATAGAGGTGGACGAACCGGAAGTCCTGGAAAAGATTCTGACCCAATCGAACGGAGTTCTTGGTGTCCTGGCAAAGCGGCGGCATTTATTTATTCACGGACAGACACGCATTCATTTGGACGAGGTGCAGGATCTGGGTCACTTCTTGGAGTTGGAGGTGTGTCTCCGGCCAGAGCAAACGCTGGAACAGGGGCAATCCATCGCCGAGGAGCTTTCCACGAATTTGGGAATCCGGAAAGAGGACCTCATGACCGGATCGTACTTCGATGCCCTGAGGAAGGCCAATCATTAATTTCCTTTAAAAGTAATTCGTCAACAATTAAAGAGAACTGTTGCTTGATCAAGTAGTGTATATTAGGTATCTTTTATTTCGTGAGTCGTTGCAAAAACACAAAGTCATACTCAGGTCTGGCAATGGATATTTACAAATTCGTTTTGTTTCCGTTTACTTCGCTAGTTTGGTGTGAACAGAACTTAGAGCCAAGAGTTTTAAATGCAAAATGGTTAAAACGACGAACACAAGGATGAAGCGCAGCGGCCAGGAGCTTGTTAACTGTTTAACTAAACATAGGCTTAAGATCTAGGGTTTGAGGATTACACAGGGCGACGAATTGAGCCGGTGGCCTAAGGGTCTTCAAATATTGAAAAGAAAGGCAGCTTTAAGCAACCTTCTTTTTCCATTCTTTCTTTCTTAATTTTTTGTTTTGCTTGCTTATCCAATGGAAAAGGCAAAATTCGTAAATTAATTTTGGCTTGGTAAAAGTCGTGGCTGTGTGTGTATATGTATATATATATGACGCTTAAAGCTAGGAGCGAGGGAAGGGGTAAACAGGATAAGGATCTCGATTCGGATCTGGATCCTCTAGCAGTAGGAGCCAATCAGGCTGATGGACAGCGATTCCGAGATGGGATCCGGCGCAGAGATCGGTTTCCAGTACAACCAATTGTAACTGACTGTGAAATAGGAAATTGGTAAGTCATTTTTGCAGTTTTAAAGGAAACACCCACAAGTTCTACTAAAGAAGGTTGAGATCAAACGAAAACCAATGGGTTAAGTAGAGTTTTCTGACTCATAGTTCCAAAATGATTCATTATTGGTACAGTTAATACAAGCTTAGCTTTTACCAAACAATTAGTTAATGTTGCATATCTAAAAACAACAAACAAAACTAGGAGATGCAATCAAGATCAGCCTTCTTATTCTACTATACTATTCCCGAACTAAATCACTTGGACGATACTCACGCACAAAGGACTGGGTCAGTCGCAGGGACAAGGTGCGACAGCGGTGCCGGCACTCACTGGTGGGTCGCAGGATGATGAACCGCGTCCCCACCGCCTGGTGGACGTACACATTGGGGCACTCGGTCTCCGGCAGTGTGTAGGCCGGGGCCTGGGCAGTATCGATGGCCACATAGCGCTCCAGTGCCACGCCCATGCTGGGCAAACGCGTGGGGCGAGCAAAAATCGGGCGGAGCAAACGCGCCGGCAGCATTCGATTGCAGCGCCAAAGATTGTGGGCCTGCTGGGTCCAGCCGCTGCTGCTGTTGAATTGGCCAAACAGATCCTCCAGATTGTGCACATCCTGGTTGGTTGAGTGCACCCGGTAGGCGTCGCGCTGGAAGATCTGATGATTGCTGACATAGATGTTGTAGAAGTGGCTCAGCTCGATGGCCTCCTGCTGCTGGCCGCGAAAGGCGAAGGGCGCGCCCTCTGGCTGATGGCACTTGTGGTTCTGGCTGAACACCTCCGACTGGTCACCAGCGCCGCACTCCTCGCTCTCCAGCCACACGCTCTCAACATCGGCACACGGCCCGCAGCTGAGATCCTCCAGCTGAAAGAAGGGATTGCCCATCAGGCAAGACTCATCGTAGAGCTCCGTGAGCTGTGGGAATCGTTGGATCAGAGGCATGGTCATCCGTCGCCACATGCGCATCCCCGGGTAGATCATCGCCTGGACCACCCGCTGCTGATGGCCGCCGGTGGAGCTGGTCGTTTCGTAGCGATAGGCGGCCACGCACAGCGACACGAGCGTCAGGTAAAAAAGCCAGCACAGAATCTGCCGTCGACGATCAAGGAGATGGTGTAGTACCTCCAGCTTGAGGTACGCCATCAGGGGGCGGTTGGCATGGTGGGCGTGACGCCCGTATGCCAATCCCGCTGCCGGAAATACTGGAACAGCACATAGTTGTCAAAGCTGAGGGATCGTACCGCATATCGCTGATCGGCCAAACGGCGCAGCTGACGCACTGCACCCGAATACCTCTGGAGCACCTGCTGGCGACTCAGTTGCACGAAGTTAAGGTCGTAATCCTCCGCATCGTAGTCCTCCATGGCGATGGCGTCCTCGCCTTGTGGGTCACATAAACAACTGGGATTCCCCTGGGTTTCCGCTCCCTTTGTTTGTCTTTTCTTTCGGCTTCGGTTTTGTGTGTGGGTCGATATCTGTGGGCCCCAAATTTTACTTCCGATTTTTAACGTTTATTTCCAGCACAAAGCATCATTCTACTTTTTTTGTTCAATTCGGTTAAAAAAAAACAATTGCAATTGACAGTTATCGATAACAGGGGGCGTGATAAAAATACCGGACACAGTAAGCCCTCCAGTTAGGAAATTTATGAATAATTTGTGTTCAATTGTTGTTTACATTGAAAATATTGTTCGAATTTATTATTTATCGCTAGGGTAGCGATAAATATATGATTGGGGCTACTTGAAAGTGAACTGGCTATTATTTAAATATGGTGTTACAACTTTTTTTGCGCCAAACTGATTTATAAATACTACAAAAAATCCAACTGACTATCGAAATATACCAAAACTCACGAGGAATCACAGCACTGGTCGAATTTGTTTTCGTCTTTAATGATATGATAACGAATTAGTGGATAACAACCCGCAGATGTGAACTCCTGGAACAATAGAAACCATGGGGAGCTATGAGAAACTAGAGGACAATGCCCGGGGTCGGGATATCGATGAGTTATCCGTCCGAGGACACCGGATTTCCGGCCTGCAAACTATAATCTGCTGGACCGTTTTGTTGTCGCTTTTGCTGTGCCTTTCGATCGGATTTATCAGCCTGGGGCTACAAGGACTCCAATCCCAGAGATCAGAGCCAGTGGATCAGCGATTGGTGTGCTACTATGCCAGCGATGGCACTCAAAATCTCAGCCTTCTCGATGTACCCGGCGATCTGTGCACCCACATTAATATCGGACCGGCCAATTTGGATAATGCCACCATCGTTCTTCCGGACTCCCTGATCCAGGTGCTGCAAAACGACAGCCGATCTTTTCGAGCCGCCCATCCACAGGTTCACCTGCTCCTCTGGATCGGTGGAGCCGATAGCGGACGCCAGTTCGCCCGCATGGTGGTGAATCACGCAATGCGGAAGGTGTTCCTGCAGTCCCTCCGCCAAATACTGCGCACCTATCCAAGTATGGATGGCATCGATCTGGACTGGGAGTTCCCGAGTGCCTACGACCGCGAGCGGATGCATCTCTCGCAGTTGCTCTACGAGATTCGAACGGAATGGAGGCGGGAAAAGCGCACAAACAACATACTCTCACTGGCGGTCGCTGCCCCCGAGGGAATCGCCTTGTATGCCTACGACATCCGGGAACTGAATATGTATGCGGACTATGTGAATCTGATGGCCTACGATTTCCACTTTTACCGCCAGGACACTCCCTTCACGGGCTTGAATGCACCACTCTATGCTCGTTCGCAGGAACGCTCGCTGATGGCCACATTCAACATTAACTACACGGTCCAGTGGTGGCTGAAGAGCGGTCTGGAGCCACATCGACTGGTGGTGGGCCTGCCCACCTACGGACACTCCTTCACGTGAGTAGCTATTAAGTTTGTGGTAAATCAAAGCAAGCACTAATCAAGATTCCACTTTTCAAACAGTTTGGTGAGCCCACTAAATCGAAGGATCGGAGCACCAGCTTCGGGCTTTGGCAAATGCGGCCAACTGGGCTTCACCACGCTATCGGAAACCTGCGAGTGTGCTGCGAAGTACATCGAACCCACCTTTGCCTACGATGCCGAGACCTGTTCGCCGTATTTGAGCGCCCTGCAAGAATGGATCTCGTACGAAAACCAAACGAGCATTGTCTGCAAGGCCAACTACGTCAAGTCCTTGAGTCTGGGAGGCGTGATGGTTTTCTCTTTAAACACCGACGACCTCAAGAATTCGTGCAGCTATTTACCAAACTCGAAGTACAACCAAAAGCCCGTGTTCCCGCTTACGCAGGCCATCAGGGAAATCCTGCGGAACTCGCTGTGATTATTCTGTATTAAATGATATTTGATTTATTTGCAAGAGGCTGCTGCAGGCGCCTGGCAAACTGCTCGGAACAGAAACAGTTTTGTACATAGTCATAGACGATAACTTGTTGTATATATAAGTATAAATTAAATTATCACAATCGATCAATTCATAATATAACTAGAAGATGTCAACGTACGCAAACCAAAGATATATACTCGCATGTACATGTTGTGTGTGTGGTGGATGTTGCTTTTTCGCAGGATGTGGGAAGGTGAGTTCCCCGAATCGCTTGGCTAATCGATAAGTATATAAAGCATAATACATTGCAACTGGGAGGAATGGGAAGCGTTACGATGGCCACGTTCGCCGCAGACAAGGCAACTCGGGCAGGGAGACAATCCTGCGCTCCGGCAATCATGTCTGCGTCGGCGGTCGTTGCAGATTGGGCGGCGGAGCGGCGAGCAGTTCGTCGATTTGCAGCTTGTAGGCCGCCTTCAGCTCGGTCAGGTCGAGTTCCAGTTCTTCGGTGCGCTCCACCTTCTCGCCGTACATTTGCAGCAGGGCGTCGTAGCGATGCTGCAGGTCCTCGTACCCCTTCTCCATCACCTCGTACACCTGCAGTTTCTCCTTCATCTGAAATGTATGATTACCGAATATCAGCAACAGGTCATCTTTTTCTCCTAACTATAAGTTATAAGCAGTGCTCCGTACCGTTTCCAGTTCAATGGTCAGGTTGGATATCTCCGCATCGAGCACGCTTCGCTCCGCCTGCAAACGCGACAGTTCCCACTGCAGGTGGGTCAGCTCGCCGTCGCGTTGCTTCAGCAGCGCCTGTAGGTGCTCCAAGGTGCTGGTGTTGGCCGCCAGGAAGCTCAGGTGCACGCCCTGGATGATTCCCGACGGCTGGCGGCCCGAGTTGGAAGCACAATCGAGGTCGTCCTGGATAAATAGGGAAGTTTGCAGTTCAGATGATTCGTTTTAAGTTTAGTGTGGTGCCATTACCGCCTGCCAGTCAATTATGCCGCCCAGGGCCTCCTCGTTGGAGCCACTGTCGTCCGCCAGGCTGAGCGGCGGCGAGGAGCGCAGGGGAGCCTGCGACTTCGACAGTTGTGGCTGCAACTCGCTGCTCGCTGCCTTCACCGCCTCCACGGTCAGCAGGCTATGCTGCTGTTTGCTGAGCTCGTTCTCGGCGCTCTGCTGCTGGCACCGCTGCTCCAGCCTGGCGATCTGCTCCTGTTGCTGCCTGATCTCCTCCTGGAGCAGGTTGAGTTGTCTGCACAACGAAAGAGATAGTATTAGAATGCAAAAAGGGCGGAGAACATGAGGCAAAATCCTACCTCTGGTGCTCGCTCTCCTTGCTGGCCACGTCCAGGTCGAGTTGGCGCAGGGCCATCTTGGCGGCTTCCGCCTCCATCAGCGCACTCGACAGCTTCTCCTCGAGCAGGCCGCAGCGGGTGCGCAGCAGATCCTGCTTCTCCCCCTGAACGGACTCGAATTGCTGCAGCGAGCGCAGCTGCAGCTGCGAGTCGTCCAGCTTCTGCAACAGCTGCTGCTCCTCGCGATTCCAGCCGGCGGATCGCTGGTCCAGGGTGCGCTGCAGCGACTCGATCTGTCGTATCAGCGGCGTGGTGGTGGCGCCCAACTCCTGCGTGGAGCTCTCCGCACGCAGCTCGGCGGCCTCCAGGCGACGCATTAGCTGGCGGTTCTCCTCCCGCATCTGCTGCTCCTTCCTGGCCAGACTGTGCTCGGCCAGGCGCAGTTTCTCGCGCAGATCGGACACCTGCTGCACGTACTCCTGCTGCTCGGCGCGCAGGCTGTCCTGCTCGTGGCGCGTGCGCTTCTGCAGATCGCCCTTGAGGCCGTCGAAGCTGGCCTGCAGGGCAGCCAGCCGGGATTGCAGATCCTCAATGCGACTGCGGTTCTCGGCGTTCTCCTCGTCCACCCGCTTCTTCTCGGCCGTCATCCGGCAGACGGCCTCAATCTGGGTGCGCTCCATCTCCTCTTTGGCCGCCAGGGACTTCTTCAGGCGCTCCGATTCACTGGACAGCAGCGATATCTGCTCGCCGTTCTTCTTCAGCAGCGTGTCCGAGGTCTTCTCCTTGGCGCGCAGCTTCTTGATGATCGTCGACTGCTGCAGGATCTCCTTGGACAGCTTCTCGCCCTCGGACTGCAGGCCGGCGATCATCTCGTTGCACTCGGCCAGCTCATCCTTGGGTATCTTGTTCTGCAGCTCGTCGCGCAGGCTCTTCATTTGGATGCGCAGGGCGTCGCGCTCGCGAATGCTGGCCTGGAACTTCTTCTCCAGCGCTGAGAGCCGTTGGACGGCATCCGCCGCATCCGGACTGTTGGCGCTATTGGCCGCCGCCTCGACGCGGGCGCGCAGCTCCTGGTTTCGCTCCAGCAGCTCGGCATTCTGGCGCTCCGACTGCAGCAGGCGCTGCTCCCGCGCCTCGATCACCTGGTTCAGTTCGCTGATGCGCTGCACCAGCTTGTCCAGCTCCGACTGCGAGTCCTCCGAGAGCAGCGAAATCTCCGAGGGCTCGCGATTGTGGCCCTTATCCTTTGGGCCCGCCTTGCCGCACGCCAGCTCCTTGAACTTCTGTGGACTGGTGCGCGTTGTGGTGCTATTGGTGCTGGAGTCGCCGTTCGGATTCGAGATGATCTCGATGTCCGAGGAGGTGGACGAGTAGCTCTGGTCCACCACCTCCGTCTTGGCGGGGGTGGGCGTCTTGCCCTTGTGGCTCATCTGCAGCTGGATGTCCTCGAAACTCTGGGTGGAATCGGAGTCGGCATTTCCAGTTGCCTGGGTGTCACTTAGGACCAAGGCCTTCATGGTTTTCGTGGAGTCTGCAGGGGGATACAAAAGTTATGAACGGCTTCTATTTGGGATAAGACATTCTGACCATTTAGATGATCCTCTATGTGCCGCTCCAGCTTTGTGCCCTCGTCGTCGTCGTCCTCGCCATCGCCCTCGGCGTTATCCGAGGTATCGTTGCTGGCTATGATCACAATACTGTCCGGCAAAGAGGGCTCCGTGTCCGGAGACATCTCCATTTCGCTGGCCGTTGTGGCCGTGATCAGTTCCAGCGAGGACTCGGACAGGCGCTTAGCCACCGACGGCTCATCGCCGCTGGGCGAAATGGGCGATGTCGGCGACGAAAGCAAATCCACCGAGTCTGAGGTGGCCGACTGCCGCTTGCCGAAGGCGGTGCTGCTCGGCACTGAAGTGGGTGTGGGCGGAATGGTGACCATTTCGTTGGCATGTGGATTGTCGAAGAACGTGGGCGTGTCCGATGCGGGTGTGGCTGCAGAACCGCCCAGTGGCGTCTCCGCGGATGCGGTGCTCCCGACCACAACTGCTCCGCCATCCCCCGAAGATCCTGCCACCGGTGAGTCCTTCTCTGGCACCTTGCTGTCGTCGTCCTGGATATCCAGCGCCTCAATCAGCACTGTTTTGGCCTTTTCAAACCAGCTCATGGCGAATGTGGAGTCCCAAGACCAATTGCCACTCTATCAATATTGTTGACGTCGCCGTAGGCGGCTAGCGATGCAAATTGCTAGACCTGCTCCTGCTGCTGCTGCTGCGGGAATCTCCTGCTCTTCGGGGGTCGCATGCAATGCGCTAGTTGTGTGGTGACTGCAGATTCCCTGTTTCAGGAACACATAACTAATACGAAAGTCCTGTGTTTTCAACTAAGCCCCAAAAGGCTGTCATCGAGTATCGATAAATCAGCTGCGGATGGGGAGGTGTAACCGTTTGTGTTTCAGTGCAGTGAACACTCGCTACATGTAATACGTGTAATGCTACATGTAATACGAAATGTGAGAAATGTGTAACAAAAAATTTGTAAAAGTAAATTTAAGCTTGCCATTCTATTCGGATCGTAGAAATGTAATTTAAACTAAAATTCAACGAATATACTGCCAACGCAGACTGGCATGCATGGGTTCGAGTCCTCGCTAGAATTACATGCAGGTGCAATCCGTTCTTATTAGAATGTCTACCGACAATCGATTGCCAGCTAGACCAGTATCGGCCGCAAGACTATCGCAATTTGCACGCCTCTGTTGATATCGAGAAACATTAATGTAATGTATAAAATAAAAAAATGAAATTTAAATTGAGAGTGTAATCAAATCAAAGTAGATTGGGCAGCAGCGTCGTCGTCGTTGTCGCGTCACACCTATATTTTATTATTCGGCGAGTGAGTGCGAGACAGAGAGAGGCGGAGAGGGAGAGAGAGTAGTAGCGCGTAGCCAGCAAAATATATCGGCAGCGGAATTCCAATCAGCAGCGCAGCGGACATAACGGGCAGCAACAATAACAATTGCAGTATCAACTACGCACCGTTTAACGCCCAACCGAACGCCCGCCCGCCCCGGTCCTTGCCACCCCTCCACGCCCCCCGAAACACCCGCACTTTTGGCACAACACACAAACACACACACACACCAAAATACACACTCACCCACACACACATACACTTATCATCCGAGCGACAAGAAAAAAAGAACCGACCGCATTTATCATTTGCACATCGCACATCACATCGCATTGTTTGCTATTGTTGTCTGCTCGGTTTTGCACGCGAAGGAGCAGACAAAGAGGACGCGCCGCGGAGGAGGAGGCGGAGTAGGAGGTGGAGTAGGATCCTGAGACAAAGGATCCGCAAAGCGGCGGCCGTATAATCGCATTATCTATGGGTCAAAAGGCGAGCACTCCGGCGACCAGCGGCCAACAGAGTCCGCGTTCCAGGACCTTCTCGAGCAGTTCTACAGGTGCCGCTGACCAGCAGCCGCCGAATCCCGGGCAGAACCGCGGCGGCCCGAACGATGCCGGCCAGGGCTTCAACCTGCTGCGCACTCTGCCCGGGCTGCAGGTGTACCACAACCACCAGAACTCCACGTCCATCGATCGCCAGCGGGCGCGGAGTCTGAGCTCCGTGCCGGACATCCAGCAGCAGGCGGCGCAGCAGCAGCAGGGATCGATCACCTCCTCGGGCAGCAGTCCGCACTCGCATCCGCACGCGGCCCACGGCCATCCGGCGGTCGGGGTTTCCGTCTCGGCGAACGCGAATGCGAACAGCAACAGCAGCTTCCCGGCAGCCGGGAACAACAACGGATCCGCCACCCAGTCGTACATGCAGCAGAGGCGCACCCTCGGGGACTCCATTCGGGTGAGCACTAAACTGTTGTGGCAGATCTGCTCCTGAGAGATCTCCGCACCTCATAGTCACACATGTGACGATCACAATATTCGGGCGTTCCAAAGGTCACAAGGGGATTAGAGCCCAGGCAATCGTTGTTCATATGCACACGCCTCAATTTACTCTGTGTAAACTATAATAGTTTACCTTTCTTCTAAATTAGTACAAAGATTGTGTACCGCACAACATTTGGTCGCTGCAAAGGTCACGATTTAGTTAACCAGCAATCAAAACAATTAATATTATCAGACTGTGTGCATATCATTTTGAGTGTTGCGTTTGTGTGACGTTCGTATTCCCTATCCAAGAATCAAAACAAAGCTGGTATATGCTTTATTTTTTAATTTTGTTTAATTGAAATAAATTAAAGTTATTTAGAGGGTCATTTTCAATTCAGAAAAAAGTATTTTAAAAGTTACGTACACGCTTTTTGTCGACTGGTGTAGTAGTTTTTCATTTCGAACCAAACAAATTAAATAATACTGCGACTTGGAGATGGGGGGCTGGCTTTAGTTTGATTTACGGCTGCTTTAGTCATGCAAATATATCTAATACAAGGAGTAGAGTACTATCTAACTAACTAACTAACATTTCAAGCACACCCTTTCCGCATTTCCCATATTCCAGGACATGTCAATGACCGGCAGCAATATCGCCGAGAGCATCGCCCTCGCCGCTTCCGCCACATCCGCCAACGGGATCGGGCGGGTGTACACGGCCACCTCGCTTCCATCGCACATCTGGTCCTTCAATGGTGAGCACTCGTACCATCTCGGATCCTTCGGATCTCTGCCACTTCAGTATTCCCCACCGCAAATTCCTCGAATAATTGCAGGTATCAAGTGCCCCGTGTGCAATAAGTTTGTGTTGCCGGACGACATTGAATGCCATTTAGTCATGTGCCTAACGAAACCGCGACTCTCATATAACGGTATGTGCTGCTCTCCAATTCTCCAATTTTCCAATTCTCCGATTATCCGGAACCCCAGAAAAACCCCATAAACCCCAATGTTTATTTACCTCTAATGCCTCGCATTGCAGAGGACGTTTTGTCGGACGCCAAGGGCGAGTGCGTCATCTGCCTTGAAGACCTGAGTCCGGGGGACACCATTGCCAGGCTGCCCTGTCTCTGCATATATCACAAAGGGTGAGCTATACCTCAACGATTCCGTACACTATGGAAAACTTTAACTAAAGGCCAGGAGGTTTTTTTGTTTTTGTACCTATTGATGGTTCTAGTTTGTGAAATTAATTTATTGAACTACAGTGATTTGGAATATCAAATATCGCAAAAATCGAATGCAACTTCACGTATATATTTTTATAATTCTTAAATTAGCTCACAGAACACATTTTATGAATAACCATAGTTGATTTTTATTTGCGAGTCTTTTATGAAGCTCGGTTGTAAATCTGCATATCGGTATCTTATCTTTAAAGTAGTAAATAAATTTACCACTGAACGAAACCATTAAACCACAAAACCCTACGACTCGCAGAAATAAATAAAAACAGGAGAACAAAGAGTCAATAACGAAGAACTGGGGAGTGCCGTAGTTTGAATTTTACACTCGCCCCGCTCCTTGGGGCAAAACATTTAAAAATAAGTATGTTCACATAGCCTCACACTGCATTCCTAGTTCTTCTTAACCACTGAATGCCGAAAGACTCATTAAAATTGTTCGATTCGATTTCTCGCCCATGAACAGATGCATCGACCGTTGGTTTGAGGTGAACCGCTCCTGCCCCGAGCATCCTGGAGATTAGTAATCCTCGCTAGGTAAGACCCTGGCTGGCACTTCGGTGTCCCGCGGAGTAGTTTAGTTCGGAAGTGCAGCTTCTAATCACGATACCCACCTTCCATTCACGAATGCTTTTGCTCCGTTCTTGCAGAGCTCGCCGAGTTGTTTGTGTGGTGCGTTACGCAAGCGAGGAGAGGTAATGGAGCAGGAAAGAAACTGGAAACGGCCAGCTGGACGCGGTGAGAAGGAGGGGTTAATCTCTGGGTTGGGACGCAGATCTCAGGCCCAGTTACTAAACACTTTGGACGTAAGTTGTTGCTTCAAATGATGCTCAATAACAACCAGTACGGTTTGAAGATATGATACTTTTTATCGCTTAATCACCAATATATATATACGAATACAATATCCCTCACTTTCCAGCTATTCGACACCGCGACGCGATGGAGCTGAAAGTCAAGAGCGTGGGGGATATGGGATAAAGTATGGGAGTATGGGAGAGGCTATGCCACAAATGCTGATCTAAATAGTGGGATCGAGCCATCGATCACTTGACCTACCGACCGACCGATCGACTGCTGATGGAACCCAAACACACACAAATCAATTGAAACAAATTAATTTACAATGCTAAACTGGCAAAAAAAAAAAGTAATAATAATAAAAACATAAGTAACGAAATCAACCAACCCACAAAAACTACAACAACCAGAAGATAATGATGACGGGAGGAGTGTAAAGCGAAGCAACCAACCAACCAACAAAAGAATGTCAACCAATGTGATGTTAAATTTTATATTTTGTACTATGGATAATGATGTAATTGTAACTGTAATGTATATGTATGTATTTATTATTTTAAACAGGACTAAAATAGGATAAACACAAAACGCAAGCGTAAGGAGAACACACAAAAAATAACAATAACAAATACTATTAATAATTATGCTAAATTAGAAAACAAACGAAAACAAAAAGCAAAGCAACCAAAAACATGCAAAAAAAAAAAAAGGAAAAAATCTAACGTCAAATAAGATTGAAAAGTAACGAAGATAGAAAAAAAGATTCCCCTCTCGGTGTATTTTAAGATTTGTTTTACGATCGCAATCAGTTCTCTTTGTGTTTATCCATTAGTTATCGCTAGTTATATTTAAATTATTTTAATTTTTATATCCATGTTTGTTATCAACATTTTGTTTGTGTTTCTGTTTAACAAACAAAAAAAAAAATTAATTGACAAAAATCGAATGAGAAATATTTTAAATATTGGCCCCTATTTGTAATTATTTGTCAATGTGAAGTTCTGGTCAAACGAAAGCTGAGGACAAATCCGAATGTATTTTTTTTTTTTTTTTTTGTCGAAAGCTTTGAACTGGCCATAAATCCGATATCCGCAGACATTGTTAATAAATTGTAGACGATGCAGAGGCAGCTCAGAGTAAAAAAAAAACTTTAAGATAAAACTTGAAGCGGCTGCATCGCTCACAATTCAGCATTCGTCTCGGGCGCCGTTTGCCTTGAAGCTGTGCGTTTATTATCATTACTGATTATTACTACATATTTGTAAATTACTACCCCATTAAGTTTACTATCCTTGCTCATCGATAAACGGATCGCAGCCAGGATTGCGTCGATGCGATGATCCGCCAAAGTTTCCTTAGCAACCGAAGCAACAGCAGCGACGGCGGCAGCACGTAAGAACTATTTTGTAAATGATATACTTTAATGTACTGTACAGATATACACCCCATACACATATGGCATATATAGAACGTTGTATATGTATATTATATATATAAATTGTAACTGTATAACTATAGCGTTGCATTGAGCGATTGGGTATACAACTGATTTCAATACAAAAGTAAACGACAGAATAAAAGCGATAAACGTAACATTAAATGCAAATTTCCATATTGGTTATATTTGAGAAACGGTTTTTTGTATCCCGATGGCGAAATTGGTAACTAATCGAAGAAAAAACATAAAAAAAACAAATAAGAAAGAGATGAAAGCAAAACAAAAATATTTGAACTTTTATAGCCAACCAAAGCGAATAGAGCAAATAAATCGATTTAGGATAACAATTGTCAAGTAAAACGGAAGCAAAGGGGAAGAGATTTAGAAAATAAACGAGTGATTATATATACCACAAATGTGTCCCTTCCTTGGAATTAAAACTGCGCAATGTTTATATTCAGCACTGCGTTTATTGGAGTAACTAAAACAGGAACGGGAGGCGTTGATCGAGCTCCCCACATCGGAAATGAAGGGGCATCTCCGTTATATTGGGGTGTGTATAAAACATATATATACATAACAGTTTAATAAAATATTTCAATGCAGTCGGTAAACAAAGTTCGTTCTGCAAAACGCTTATTTTGGATAATTTTCCAACACGGTTCATCAAGTAATGACTGCCGCCACGAAAACCAAGCATGGATTTCCTAGAGGGTGTTCAGATACGGCCAAATCGAAGGATATAATATGCAGATATGAACGAATTACGGATCTGATGGGTTTGGAAAAATTCGAAATTAACATGAGCCAGAAGGCCATCTCATGATAGAAAGCGTTTTGAACGCACTCATACACTTGGTAACACACTCTGATCTTATCCAACCAAAAGGGACGCGTTTTATCCATTTTCATGCCGGTCAGATAATATATTTCACCAGTTAAATCGAAACTGTAAGAATATTTCTTCTGTATGCGTCCAAACAGAGCCATTTAAACATATCTGTCACTTAACCGTATGCCGCTCATGCCAATATACATTTGGCGTTTCGCTCAGGAACAAAACTATTCCCCTCGTGTCGTGCGATCGAGCGCTCGCTATCTGCGAGATAAAATGGTACAAAAAAAAAGAAGAAGTATATAGTTTGAATATGACTACGAATAATTTGGTAAAACAATTCATCGGCTTACACGTACAATTTTAGAGTAGAGGAAAAAACTAGTCCGGCTTAACACATATAGTATGTAATTGAAACAGATCCGGTACGGCGCAAATTAGTATATGTATAATCGAATTGGATATAAAAAGAGTCTAACATAATGGCGAATGGCAAAGGCTGAGACCGGAGAACTTAAATATCGAATCTGAAACCTGGAACCTGCAACCTGGAAAATATCGAATCCGATAACGTCGCTAACGTCGCCAGGAACGTCTCTATCGGGATCTAGGTGATTGGCTGCTGCTGCTGCGGCGGCGGCTGGGGATCCGGCACCCGGCCAGCTACTCGTCCAGTCCACTCGGAGCACGCGGGCTGCGATCCGAGGGAGAACGGGCTCCGGTCCGCCGGCTCATTTCCCCGACTCCTGTCCGCGCCTGTCTGTCGTTTCGTTTCCTATCGTTTAAGCAACTACACTTGGTTGGTTGGGAGGTGTTGGCGGCGGCCGAATGAATCGGTCTCGCCACGTCCGTTGGGGAGACGACCGCCGTCAGGCGGCGACTGCCTCGGGTCCTCAGGAGGAGACCCAGAGGTCGCCCCAATGTTGAATGTAGTCCCTCTCCCTCCGCTCCGAGTTGTGATGCGTGGTTGTGATGTCAAAAGCCCCAAATGCGGCCGACCAGTGCGGATGTTTAAACCCACGGCGTCCATCCCTCGTAGAGCACGGCCAGGTTGTCCGGATTGGTGGCCTCGCGAATGGCGTAGTCCACCTGCTCGGCGACCGAGCTGCGCTGGCTGCCGTCCGGGTCGCGGCCCTCCAGCTTCATCCGGATCTTCTTCCACACGGACACGCCGTACGCGTTGCGCTTTTGCTCATGCAGATTGCTGCCACCTGTTCACAAAAGGCAGAAGTTAAAAAGGATTACAAAGAACTCAAGTTGGATATGCCACATGCCACACAGACACGACGCCTCACCTTTGGTGTGCGTGAAGGTATCGTAGGAGTCCGCCTCGACGGCGTGCTGCAGGAAGTCGTCGACGCTCTTGAAGAACTCGCTGACCTCCTGCCCGGCCATGGCCAGGATGAGCTGCAGCTGCTGGCGCCAGCTTTGCAGCACGGCGGGCGGCAGTGCTCGCCGCTCGGTGCAGATGTCCTTGCGCAGCTCCTGCAGCCGCAGGAAGAGGGACTGCAGCAGGCGCTGGCAGTCGCGCAGATGTCCGCAGAGCAGCTGCACGTCCGTGGGCACCAGCTTGCCCTGGCCCTGCGCCTGGGCCTCCGAGCAGAGGGTGCGCACGTGGAAGCGCGGCATGTTGTCCTGCAGGCGCTATAATCAATAGCAATGGATAGTCAATACGATTTTAAGACCATTTCGGCCACTTGCTCACCAGTGTCTCCTTGAGCAAAGTGCAGATGAAGCGGTGTTTGCTCTGCTGCTCGCCCTCCAGCTCCGCAATGTCGCGCTGCACCTTGCACGTGTGCTCCTCCAGCAGTCCCTGCACGTTCTCCAGCCAGTTGGGATCGACGGCGCCCTCGGGATCGAGCAGCTCCACCACGGACTGCTCCACGGCGCTGATCCGCGATCTGCTCGCCTGCCACTGCCCGTGGGCAGCCAGCCACTGCTCCAGGTGCTCCACCTGCGCCTGCCCCTCCTTCCCAAGCGCCCCGGCATGCAGTTCCAGACGCGAAACGGCTGCGGCCGCGTCCGCCAGCTGGCGCACCACCGCCACGTGGGCGGCCACCCGCTGGTTGTGGCACTGCTCCGTGCGCAGCAGGCTGTCGATGTGGTTGCGGTTCCAGTTGCTCCGCTGCGCCTGCAGCTGGCCGAGCCGCGACTCCCGCCCGCCCAGCTGCTGCTGCAGGGCACCCAAACTCTGGTCCAGCTGCAGCCAGTCCTCGCCGATGAGCGCGGCCAGCTTGGGCCGGCTCACCACGTGGTGGCCGCAGCGCAGCTGGGCGCCCAGTGCCTCCGCGTAGGCCCAGTGCTGGGCGGATGCGGCCAGGGTGTGCAGCTCCAGCTGCTGGTTGAGCAGCGCTATCTCCGCCTGCTGCTGCTGCAGTCCGCCGTCCGTCTGAAGGGATATGAAGAGGCCCTCGCACAGGTGGTCCGCCTGCGCCGCGTCGCCCAGGACGCCACAGTTCGCTGTGGGCTGGCACTGGGGACCCACGGCGGTGTAGAAGTTGCGCGCCAACAGGGGCAGCAGACCGGCCAGACTCTCCGCCTGGAGGCGCTGCACGAGACCCACGACGGGTCGGGCCATTTCGCGCACATCACAGCTGCGGCTGGACTCCAGTGCCTCGCTGATTAATCCAAAGAAGCACTCGTCATCCAGCGGGAGGGGAGATGACTTGAGCAGACCCAATTCCTGGAAAGGAGAAACTGTGAGTTCACCCAAGGGGACCAAGGGGAATAATGGTTGTAGTAACGTACCATCAACTGCTGGGCCTGCGGATCGTGGACGTCCTCGAGCATCGGCTTCGCGCTCCGCACCAGGGAGCCCAGCGCACTGGCCACCAGCTGGAACTGCTCGTAGATGGGCTGCAGGGTGAGCAGGAACCTCCGCTCCGCAGGACACTCCTCCTCGGGCTGATGCTCCTTCTCCAGCGTGGCCTCCTGGTAGAGTTGCGCCAGACTGGCGGCGCTCAGATGGCACAGGGCGCTCAGCTGGCCGAGATTGGGCTGCAGCAGGAGCAGCCGGTAGATGCTGGCGGGCAGGTCGTACTCGAAGGTCAGCTTCAGATGGGACAGCGCCGCCAGCAGGCTCTCCATCTGTCCGAGGTGCAGGTCCTCCTGCTCGCCGATGGCCAGGACGCCCTGGCACATGGAGCGCACCAGGTGGATGAAGTGCAGCTGGTGCTGCAGCAGCTCCTCGTCCTGGCCGGCCAGCGCCTCCTGTTCGTAGGCGGCGAACGCCACTCCGGCTCGGTCCAGGGTGCGGACCAAGCTGGCCTTCAGCAGGAGCAGGCTGCAGCCGCTCTGGCCGATCATGGCCAGCAAGGCGGGCGTGGGCGGTCCCAGGGCGAGTGCCTGCGCCTGCTTGGCGGCGAAGCGCTGCGAGGAGTCGTGCAGCTGGCAGCTGAGCCGCATCCAAGCGGCCTCCAGTGCATCGGCCACGCCCAGCACGTCCGCCGTGCAGATGATCGAGCTGGAGGAGGAGTTGGCGCCGCTGGTGGCTTCGGCGGAGTCGCCGTGCTGGATGTACGCCCCGAAGCTGTCGTGGAAGCGCACGAACAGGTTCTGCCGGTGGCTCTGCTCCGGGAAGAAGTTCATCACCGCCGCGTACTGCTGCAGGTGCTCCGAACTCTGGATGGCCACCTCGTCGAGCCTGGCCAGCAGCTCGTCCGTCTGGCCGCGCACGCCGTCGAACTCGGGCAGCTGCAGGGCCTCCGCCAGGGCGGCGGACTCCCGGGCGTTGTCGCCGTGCGGCTCCATCTGCAGCTCCAGCTGCAGCTGGACGAGCTCCCCGTGCAGCTCGGCCAGGTGGTACGGCTGCAGGCACTGGCCGTAGGTGCCGAGGAGGCTCTGCACCTGGCCGAAGTCCGCCAGCCGCTCGGCACTCAGTGCTGCCAGCGACTCGGAGTGGCCACGACGCACCGCATGGCGCAGGGAGGCCGTGTTGAAGCTGTGGCTCTCGATCGCCGTGCCCAGGGATTTGATCTCGGCGATCAGGGCGCTCCGCTGGTTCAGCTCCACCAGCTCCTGCTCGGCGGCCAGCTGCCTGCTCTGCGCCGCCTGCAGGTTGCCCACCTCCTGGTTCATCTCCTGCAGCTGCAGCATTATCTCCGACCTGCAGAACACATTAGAATCAATTATTTTAGTCCCTCTAAAACCTCAAAAAACTTTTAGTTGAATACCCTTGCATATTGCATCTTTTAACTATTTATAAAAATATAAAAAAATTTTATAATGTAATCTAATTCTTTACTTAAAAGAGGAAGAAACCCGGGCACCTTTAGGTTAATAACTTTTTTAATTTATCTCCGATTTGAATATGGCATACCTCTATGAAATTGTAGTTTAATTACCTAACAAATTGCATCATCAATAAAATTTTTATTTTTGGCTGGATTTTTTTTTAATTTTCATGATGCAACTTTCCAAATTTCTGAAAATTGATTTCACCGAAAAGTGGACTTTTTCCAGCCACTTCTAAGTCCATTTAATTTATCTCGGATTTTAAAGTGATATACTTCTATGAAATTTAGGCTTAATTCCCTAATAAACTGAATCATCAGTAAAATTCTTTTTTGGATAGATTATTTTTTAGATTTTCATGAAAATTGGCTATACGTTTTCCATGTTACTCACTTGTTGGTGACCCAGTACTTCTGCAAGATGCCGAACTTGCCCAGGAAGTGCTGCCGCTTGGAGTCCCAGTCGGGGAACTTTCCTTTGTTCTTGTCCTTCTTGTGGCACTTAAGGTCCCCGCCAGCCGGGCCACCTGCTCCTCCTCCTCCGCCGGCCTGCTGGTGCTTGGCATTGAGGGATCGCCGCAGGGCCTGGGCATCGTCGTTGACGGTCCAGTCGACCAGGGGATCGTAGACGAAGGCCTCCAGGAGGGTGAGCAGGGTCTCGCGTTCCTTGCGCATCACCTTCAGCACATATTCGCAGCCCAGTCGGAAGGAGCCCTGCAAGAGACGATGGATGGGATCAATGGTTGGCTGGCGGTTGGCGGTTAGCGGCGGAACATGGAACATGTGTGCCTATATATCACGCCCATAAACGGAACATTGGGGTCCATAAACGTACGTTCCATCTGTCTGATACGATTCGTTCTATTTGCCATGCTAAGCGTATGGGAACCCAAACTGAAAACAAAAGCAAAACCAGAAACAGAAACAGAAACAGAAACCGCACCATAACCATGTTATACATATACAATCTCGACTGGCATCGGGGCTAATCGCTATTTACAATTGCAGATTGGCGCGTAATTTATGTGATAAGTGTGTGAAGTCTATCCATATAGGTATACATAGGTATCCAATGGATCGTCCCCCATTTATCCTTTCCCCATTTATACTTTCGGTTTCTTCCCATCCAAAAGTCACGACTTCGTGGTGTGAACCAAGTTCAATCGGGCTAAAGTGCAAGGCATGGCACTTCATTCTTTATGGGGACGGTTACTTCCAAAATACGTCATTAGTTTTGCTAAACAACAGATACAGATATATACCCATATATATACGATCGTGGGGAAGGGCACCTTCACTTTCCCCCAATTTGTATTTCCACGAAGATGACCCATTGGATACTATCAGATTTGGTTTATCCGATACGATACCTTGGTTATCTGGGTATAAATTGAATTGGTATCAAATTTGAACGGATTGTATAAGGAATATATACATCGTACTTATATCAATCTGCGAACTATTCGTTCGTGTAACCGGGAGGCATCGAACAATACCCATCCGTGTTCGCCTCTGATAATACTTTATGGTCGAATGTTAGCTTTTACGACACTCAATAGCCATAAGAAGGCAGCTCGTGCTAAAATGTGAGTTGGCCAGAGAGCTAAGCCCTTTTAGTTTTCTAGTTTTAAAGAAAATCCCCATAGTTTCGACCCTTCTGGAAGTTTTCTGGGGTGAATCCGTATGCCAGATAGGTACATTCAGTATCCATGTTCCATGCTCCTGGTGTTTTTATCGTTCTATTTTGGTCTGCCGCGCTGCGGGCTAATCTGCTAACACCCCCAGCGATCTGTTTGGCCATGCATTTGGCCACTCGAAACGCTCTGGGGCCACTTCTGGGTGCTTTTGGGGGCTTCAATGGGTTGGGCTGGTCGTAGTTCGCTAGCTGGAACTGCAGGGACGGGCCAAAAGTGGACGGCTTATCGACGGATTGCGGTTCTCACGCTGGATCTCTGGCCGCGTTATCAGCTATCAGTTAACTGGCGATGGTGACGATGTCGTTGAGCCACCAGCGAAACGTAAACAAACGACGCCCACGGTGAGTCCGTATCCGTATCTGTATCTGTATCCGTATCTGTATCTGTAATGGTATCCGAGTGTTGCCGAAGTCCTGGCCCGGAAAAGTGCAGAGCCGCAGCTCCAACGAGTCCAATGGTAGTGGGTAGATGGCCAGATAGCTCCTCGCTGGCGTCGCGTGCGCTTCGTTTTCCGTCGTCGAGCGAAATGTTGGCGTTTTCCAGCAGCTCCCCGCCTGATTGGGATTATCGGAGCAGTTCGGTGGAGCCAGTGGCTCCTGTGCTCCTGTGGAGCCAGCAAAATGTCACGGAACCGGCGACGGACACGATCACGAGTTCCACTTCCACCAGCTTCAGTACCGCCCACTTCCTGTGGCTGGCCATCAACGGGGTGCTGTTCTTCCTGATCCTCGGCGGGAATGTCCTGACCATCGTGGCGGTGCGCACCTGTCGCCACCTGCGCTCGGTGGTCTCCAACCTGTTCATCCTCTCGCTGGCCGTCTCCGACTTCTGCGTGGGCCTGGCCCTGCCCTACCACCTGGTCTTCTACATGGGCTCCAACATTGGCGGGATGCGGGGTCCCTGCCTGCTGCGCTTCTTCCTGCTCATCTGCGCCTGCTGCGTCTCCATGCTGACCCTCATCTCCATTGCGGTGGATCGCTACATAGCCGTGGTCTACGCCCTGCACTACAGAAGGTAGTTATCCGCAATCCGATACACATTTCTCACCAATCGAAAACATTTTCAATAGCAAACTCCACTTAATGCATCTAGTAAGCTCTCTAATCTCTCTCTAAACTAATTTTAACTTGTTTAGTAAACCACTGAAAACATTTTCAAAAGCGAACTCCACCTCATGCACCTAGCTAGCTAATCACTAATTTATTTCAACTTGTTTTAACTTTATCTGAGAACTTTAACTTTAGTAAACCCCTGAAAACATTTTGCAAAGCAAACTCCACTTCATGCATCTACTATGCTTTTTAATCTCTCGCTAAACTAATTTTAATTTGTTTAGTAAACCTCTGAAAACATTTTCAAAAGCAAACTCAGTTTTTTACATCTACTAAGTTCTCTAATCTGTAATTAATTTTAACTTGTTTTAACTTTATCTGAGAACTTTAACTTTAGTAAACCCCTGAAAGCATTTTCCAAAGCAAACCCCATTTCACGCATCTAATGTATCTATGCTCTCTAATCTGTAACTAGTTTTAACTTGTTTAGTAAATCCCTGGTAAGAACACTCGACCCCTCCACAGATACATGACCCGTCGGGTGGCGTACAGCATCATCGTGTCGAACTGGTGCCTGGGCGCCCTGGTGGCCCTGCTGCCCGTCTTCTGGAACCGGTGGCCCGACGCGCAGGCCTGCGAGTTCGACGAGGTCCTCTCGCCCGGCTACATAGCCGGCGTGATTACGCCGGGCTTCGTGATCATCTGGGTGTGCATGCTCCTGGTCTACTGGCGCATCATGCGCGAGGCGGCCAAGCAGGCGCAGCGCCTCCGGCAGTCGGTGGTGTACAACACGGACGAGGCCACCACGATGCGGAGCCTGCTGCTCCATCCGGACTGGAAGAGCGTCCAGATCGTCGTCTTCATCATGGGCTGCTTCACGCTCTGCTGGCTTCCCTACTTCTGCGTGGCCATCGCCCAGCTGTTCAGCATCTGCCGGAGCAGCTCGATGATCTACAAGACCACCTTCTCGCTGGCGATCGCCAACTCGGCCCTGAATCCGATCATCTACTCGTGGAAGAACTCTGGCTTCCGGCGCGCCTTTGCCCAGACCCTCTGCTGTCGGTCGGCAAGGCAGTGCGAGGAGCAGCTGCCGGCGGACAGCAAGCAGCGCATGGAGGCCACCTCCTCCTCCACGGGCTACCAGCAGGAGGTCAAACCAAACGGTAGTCGCTGATCAGTGGATCAGTGGATCACTGGATCAGAGGATCAGTGGATCAGTGGATCAGTGGTTTCTTATAGTATTCAACCCCTGACTTGATAGGCTTATGTTCAGATGATAGCAATTAAAGAGCAACTTTGGGTGACAAAAGTTCCACTGCACTACTCTTCTACTATCAAACCCATTATATATATATATATATATAGAAGGACTACCAAGGAGGGAAGGAGGAGTAAGCAAGTGTTTTCCTACCTCGATTCCGGTGATTCCCAGCGCGTGCACAAGATTCTGGGTGAGGCGGAAGGGCACCTTCTCGGGGATCCGCAGCGAGCGACCCTTCTCGAAGCAGACGTTGTAGTCGATGTGCACGATGTCGCCGCTTCCCAGGTTGATGAGCACGTTGTCCAGATGGCGGTCGCCCAGTCCGATCACATAGCCGATCATCGACATCACGGACATGCAGCGGGCATAGCGACGCACCGAGAGCCGCCACTCGGCGGCGTTCCCCGCCTGGCACCAGAGCTCCCTGGCGAGCAGATCTCCGGGGGTTTCCTGCTGCAGTTCGGCCAGCACTTGGCGCAAAGCGGAGACGGGCCACTGCCGCCGCGGGTCGCTGACCAGCAGGTTGTGCTTGGCCAGCAGCGGCGTCAGCTTGCTGTAGAAGAGGTCCGTGAATCTCCGCGTGGCATTCGCACCAGGTGCTCCGCCGCCTGCTTTTCCCGTGGCCTGCGGCTGGCGTTGCTGCCACTTCTTGTAGAGCGCGAAGAGCGGCGTCACCCCGTCAACCCAGCTGATCAGTCCGGACTGCGGTCCCAGCGGGATCACCGAGTAGTGGTGGGCGCGGTAGCAGCCGTTGCCGGGGGCATCGCTGCGACAGGCCATGATGGCGTTCGAGATGGACAGGAACTGCATGATGCGCTCGTCCAGGTGCAGGTCCTCCATGCCCTTGAAGAGGAACGTGTACCGCTGGCCGTTGCTGCCGTAGAAGGCCACCTTCTTGGGCTTCGTCTTGGTGGGCAGCACCGCCACCGATCCCTCCACGCTCTCGATGTACACCTGGTCCTCCTCGTTGGGCCCGTGCACATCTAATCCGGGCATGGAGATGCGCATCCTGCCGATCCCGCAGAGCACCGGGCTGAGGCTCTGCATCTTGAGCGTGCTGCCCGTGCCGCGGATCAGGTTCGCCTGCAGGATGTGATACAGTTGCTTCAGCTTGTCCCACGCCTCCGGGTAGCGTCGCGTGCGCAGCGCCTCCACGGTGGCCCGGATGGGCGTGTCGAAGCGCTTGTGGAAGCTCCGTTCGTAGCTGGTCTCCGCCGGACGGGCGGTCAGAGCGGCCAGCGCCTCCAGGTCGGCGAGCAACTGCGGCCGCCAGACGTTGAAGCGGTTGTTCTTGCCCTCGTGGTCATCGGGCCGGAACTCGGTGGCCAGCGCGCTCACCCGACCCACGTACGTGTTGTAGATGTGGGCCAGCGAGTGGATCCAGTACTCGTCCCACAGCAGGCACACGCGGCGCAGCTCCTTCACCATCAGCTGCACGTGCTGCACTGCCTCCGGCGCCTGCTTGGACAGCTCGCCCAGCAGGTAGCCGTAGCAGCAGGCGTTCTCCGTGCTCGGCGGAGTGGCGTTCGGTGGCTGTGGCTTCCCCGCCGCCTCCTGCTGCTCCCGATTGGCTCCGACCACGGCGGGGAAGATCACCAGCTGGGGCCGGCTCTCGGCCAGGCGGCAGAGCAGGTCGCAGACGCTCTTCCTCACGTACGGCTCGTGGTGGTTGAGGCGACTGAACAGCTGTGGGATGATCACCTTCCAGGGCGCGATGGGCGTGGTGTGCAGTCCCTGCTCCAGCACCTCCTGCAGCCCGCTGGCGTGCTTCACAATCAGCCGGAGCAGTCGCAGCGTCGTGGTCACCATGTTGCTGTCGTCCACGTGGAAGCGTTCTGCGGTCCGCTGCTGTGCGCTCGAATCCCCTCCTGCTCCTCCTCCTCCTGGCTTCTCTGCAACCGCACCTGCTCCAGCTTTCAAGCTGAGGTACTGGAAGTAGGAGCGGGCTGCATCCTTGTAATAGTCGTAGGTGTTGGCAATGGCCCGCCGCCAAATCTGCAGGATGGCATCCAGCACCTCCGGCGGCTTGTCCGCCAGCAGGCTCAGCCGGCGCAGACAGACCTTGGCCGCCTCGTCGTCGCGGGCGCGCGCCGCCTCCGGACAGACCTCCACGCAGTTGGCCGGCGGCAGTTCCATGCTGAGCGCCTGCAGGAGCTCGCCAAGCTGCTCGTTGTCCAGCGGCTGGTCGATGCCCAGCGCCTCGCTGAGCGCCGACACATCCGCCTGGGTGAGCACGCAGCCGCTGTCCACGATCTTCTTGCCCCAGCGGTAGCACCAGTTGCCGTACGCAATCAGCGCCTCCTCGCAGTTGGGCCGCTGCCTCAGGCTGGCGTGGACGAGGCGGGCCACCAGTCGCTCCGCCTGCGGAATGGCCAGTGGCTGGCTGGAGCCGCAGGTCAGCGGACACTCGGGTAGCTGCTCGAGCAGTTGCGTCAAAGCGGGCGTCTGGTTGGTGGCCAACCCGTTGCAGCTCCTGTTCGCGATCCAATCGGAGAGATTCAGCAGCAGATCCGCGCCCACCTCCGGTCGAGGGCTGCTCCTCTGGATCTTCAGGCAGAGCGAGGCGCTTACATCGATCGATAGGCTCAAATCGGAGCACTGCGTTTGTTGCTGCTGCTGCTGCTGTTGCTGCTGGAGGTGCAGGCACTTGACCAGCTCGCTGTAGCCGCGAAGCAGCTGCGGATTGTCCATGGAGGGGCCGTGTTCCAGTGAGAACTGTGCAGCCACCTCGTCCAGCGGCTGGCCCAGGAACTGGGTGAGCAGGGTCTCCGCCAGCTGAAGGTTTCCCTCCTCTCTTGCCGCGGCTGCTGCGTCCAGGCAGAGCGTCTCCCAGCTGCCCGGCGCACAGTGCTGGCGGAGCAACTGCGTGTAGGCCAGGCAGCGCATCAGAATGGCGCTCGAGATGGGGTTGGAGCGGCTCGGGCATCTCTCGGCGGACAAGGGAAGCAGCGACAGCTCCTGACCGCTGCCGACACACTGGACCAGGTGCCGCAACAGGGTGAGCTCTCGGCAGGATCTCCGGTCGGAGCTGGGGTTCAGCAGGCTGTCGCGCCACTGGTTGTCCAGCAGATTGGTCACCTGAACGGACAGCGGACAGCGGTCCTCCATCAGCTTCTGGAGCACAATGTCCTCAGTTCGCTGGCGCACGTGAACGGATGAGAAGCTGGCACGTTCTCCGCCAGCACTTACCGCTCCCGATCCCGATCCGGAACCGGATCCCTCCCACTCGCTGGGCCACAGGCTCAACTGCTGCAGCGAGTCTGCAGCCAGCTCGTCCATGGAGGCGTGCAACTCCTCTCCGCGAGCGAGGAGTCGTTCGAGGGCAGTCACCTCCACATTGCTGCGCTGGAGGAAGGGGTTCAGTTCCCTGTCCTCGGGTCGCGTCAGCTGCTGCTGCTTCAGTTCCACCAGCTGGGCCCACTGGCCCGTGTCCTGCAGGCACTGCATCATCTGCGCGACCACGAACTGGCGCGTGTGCGGCTCCAGCTCCGGCTGATGGGCCTCCTCGGCCAGGACACTTCGGTACCCGGCCAGTGCGGATTCCCGCCTTCCAGCCGCCTGATCCGCGGCGTGCATCAGCCACTGGTAGGACTTGCTGTTGTTCTTGGAGCGGGCCCACAGGCAGAGGCCGCGCAGGGAGTCCGCCTCCTGGCAGCAGACCCAGGCCCAGGCCATGTAGACGATCGCCTGGCTGTAGGTGGCATCCTGGGACTTCTGGGTGAGCAGGATTTGCTACGGGGAAGGAGGAAGGAGGAGGATGAGCTGGTGAGATGGAAGAACCGCTGAGAGCTGACTCACCTGGGCATATCGGATGACCAGTTCCGGCTGCTGCACGTGCATGGCGATGATGACGACGCCGATGCGGATGCGATTGAACCAGGACTGGCAGGTGGGGTTGTTCAAGCGGAAGAAGGCGGCCACCGGCTTCTCCGGCGGACGCAGGGCAAAGGCACTGCCCTCGGCGGCGTTGTAGATGAGCTTCTCGAGGGCGTCGAGGAAGCCCAGCAGCAGGCCCAGATTGCCCTGCATGTTGAGCAGCTGCTCCAGCGTCAGGCTGTCCAGGGCCGAGCGCTCCACCTCCTTGGCGCAGCCACTCAGCAGTCGGGCGTGCCGCATGATGATGGCCTCGAATCCGAGGAACGTTTCCTGCGGCTTCCCCAGCGTCGTCCGCAGTCGCTGGTCCACGCAGTACCTGGCCGTCTCGAACTGCAGCCAGGCGGTGGCCAACCGCTGGCAGCGCTTCGTGCACTGCGACAGCTTCTCCTGCCGCTCGTCCGGCGGCGCCACCTGGCAGCTGCGCACGAACAGCTCCCGCAGCCCGTTGGTGAGCGCGTCCTGCTCCGGCTTCTGCAACCGCTCGAAGATGTCACGGAAGACGGTGTCGCGCACCGCGCTGCACTGGCTCATCCGCTGCTGCCAGAGGCAGACGCGCCTGCTGGCCGTTCCGGGCAGCGGCGATTCCCCGCCGGTGAGCGTCAGGTGCAGGGGCAGCTGGGCGTAGATCTGGGCAAAGGCGGCATGGCCAGTCGGGGACAGCATTTGCAGCTGTTGGAGCGACGTGTCGCGGTAGAGGATCAGCAGCTCCGGCAGATGGCCCAGTCGTTCCGGGCCGTACTCCAAAACGGTTTGGATGCAGGCCGCACTCTCGAAGGGCATCCATTTGGCGGCGCTGGCCGCAATGCTGCGACAAATGCCCAGGAAGTTCTCCTGTCCCATCAGCAGATTGGACTTCTCGCGGCATTCGGCCAGCAGCATCTGCGTCCACTGCAGCAGCAACCGCAGATTCTGCGGCGCCAGCTGGCCAGCCTGTTCCAAAATCGAATTGAGGAAGCGCAGGATGCTGGCGAAGCTGTTCGCCGTCGGCGAGGTGTTCTCCGCCGCGAGCTCCTGATCACGGAGCAGGCTGGAGTTGGTGCGGAAGTTGTGGTTCGCCTGGCAGTGCACTATGAGCAGGTCCAGGATCGCTTCATGCGCGGCGGGGTACTTGCTCCAAAGCGCCAGCTCGTCGGCCTTGCAGTTGGTGAGCAGCAGCTCCAGAATCGACGGCTTGCAGGCGTACATGCCAATGATGGAAGAGGTCTGCTTGGCTAAAGCTGCCAAAGCGGCAAGATGGAAGACGAGAAGCGCGTCCGCTCCCCTCTGACGAGTCTCCTTCTCTGTTGCGGGTGATGGCGACTGCAGTTGCTGCAGGCAGGAGTCGATGTCATCCACGATGTGTTTGTACGCCTGCTGCAGCAGGGGCACATTCCTGATGAGCAAGGTCTCCTGGCAGGTGCGCAGTAGCAGCCGGTAATCACGGCCGCCCGGCGTTCGGCGCCTTAACTCCGCCAGATATGGATTGGACTGGAAGATCTGTTGAACCACGCTGGGTGGCAGGCGTGCCCGCAATCTCCTCACTGTGCAGAGCAGCAGAAAGAGCACGCTATGCCGCTGGGTCTCACTCAGCGGGAGCATCTGCTCCAGCTGGCCGCGCAGCAGCTGCTCCAAGGTATTCGGGTCCAGGCCGCTGAAGTTGTTCAGCAGGCAGATGCAGAGCAGCTCGTTAATATTGACCAGTGCATCGGTGTCCGTGTGCAGCACAAGATGGGGCATTATTTTCGTAAGGTGATCCACGGCCATTTGGACAATACACTCACAGGTGGGCATGCCCACGAATATTTGCATGCGGGCCAGACACTTCAGCAGCGTATTGAAGGCACCCACAAAGGCGCCTACGCGCTCCGCCATGGCCGCTGGATCCTCCTCGTCCAGTATGGTGATATCCTCAACGAACTGGGCCAACAGACCGTAGCTGAATTCCATCTGCTTGCTGAAGTACGGCGTTAGCTGCTCCAAAACCTGGGCACAGTGGTCCTTAAGCTGCCTGGGCTGTCCGGCCTCCAGTTGCCAGCCGATAATGATGTCCACAACGTCGGTGAAATGGCACTCGAAGGCGTCCCGATAGTTGGACGAGAACTGCACCAGCATATTGCTCACAGCGATGAATGTTTCGGCGCTCTCGGCGTTCTCGAGAAAGTCTTTTAGCAGCAGCATAATCTTGTCGGCGTACAGATGCAGTTCGCACTTGGTGTCGCAGCTGCGTTTGAATTGGAAGGGGTTTACAAGTAGAACAAACGAAGGAATAGAAACGGATTCACCTCAGGGTGGTGCGCAGGGCCACAATCAGGTATCTCTGCATTCGCTTACTGCTCTTGTAATTTTTCACAATGAACTCCTCGAAAATAGGGTACGACTTGCGATTGATGTAGCCAATCAAGCCCAGGGTCTTGCTGCACTCCTCGAGGACAGCAGGCGAGCACTGTTTGTAGAGGGTAAGCATGTTCACCAGGATCCACACAAAGGAACAGGACATGTAGCCCATGTTGACGGGCGTGCGCACAGCCTGATCCAATTTGGCGCACAGTTCCAGGGCGACGGCGGGATTGGATTCGTTGTTGAGTCTTCGGATGATCTTGGACAGGCGCAGATCCTCACCATTGCAGGTCATGTTGACCGAATCACCTTTGAAAAGATCCAGCAGCGTGCTGTGTGATGAGGAACCAAGGTCAAGGTCAGAATGCTGGACTCACCTTTGCACTGAAACACCTTGCGGTGGTTCTGCGGCATCGCGTGCCCCTTGTCCAGCTCGTGGTTCATGTTGCGCAGGCCCAGTGAGTTTGCAAACACCTGCGCACTATCGTACGACTTGTTCCCGCCTGGCGACGACATGGACTCATTGCCCCCTGATCCCGATGCACTGCCACTTCCGCTGGCAGTGCCGCTGCCACTTCCATTGCCTTCGTTGGTGCCGCCACCGTGACTGTTGCCATTGTTGTTCCGCAGAACGCGATCAATCTCCGCGTGGAACGCGGAGGACGCCTCCTCCTCCTCGTTCCCAGTTCCATTGAAGTTTTCCGGCTGGAGCGCGTTCTTCATTGAGGGAATTGGCGGCGCTAGCGCAGACATCAAAACTCCTCGAAAGTCTGCATCAATTGTTTTTTAGCTTGTACCACGAAAATTAGTTTCCTTTCTTTCGTTTTTTCGTTCCAAAATCAGTTAGTGGTGGGGTCAATCGTTATCGATAAGCGCGAACGCGTTGGGGCCCATCGATGTGTCGCGGGAAATGTATTTATAGCCGAGTTACATTATATCGGTTTGCCTATCGAGTTAGCATTAGCCCGATCACTCAAAAAATAGAGTTTAAACGCTAAATACTTTCAGTTATTTCACTAGTCGGCAAAAAATAAGAAATATACCTCAAAATACCAAATACTCCACTTTAGCCCACCGTTAGTTGCAATGCAAAACACATTTAAAAAATTAAACGGCTTAACCCATCGATGAATAACTGTTGAATGTTACTAGCTGATATCGTTTCTGGTGCCATCTTTATTACCAAACAATATCTTTTTAGCGGGTAATTTAGTTTAAACTTTATTTGAGTCAAATTAAGTAAAACAGAAAGTACATAATATACTTATTAAAGATAAAGAAGCAAGCGAAGTTTTCTTGGGATATCGCAAAATATATCCACGAAACGAAGAAACACAAAACTTCTGCATTGATAAGGGGCTTCTCGCTATTTACCTAACTTATCCATCATATGTTGGGTGTAAACTGCCACAAAGTTGGCCATTTGGGCGTACACCTGGTAGGGATGCTTGAACGGATGCAAACCATAGCCTGCTGCTGGAGGAGAGTCCATGGGAGCAGTAAATTCCACTGGCTGAGGAGGAGCAGTAAATTCCACTGGCTGAGGGGCAGCAGCAAATTCTACTGGCTGAGGTGGAGCAGTAAATTCAACAGGCTGAGTTGGAGCAGGAGGACAGGGTGGCAGCAGAGGGGCACGTGGGGCAACAGGCTGCTCGCGCGGCACCAGCGACAAGCAAATGTCGCCCACCTGCAACTGCTGGCACTTGAGCTCGTACAGCTGGAGCGACAGTGGCGGGTTGCAGGAGGCCCAGCCCTGCCCGTAAACAAACATCGGATGACCCGGCAACACCTCCAAGTCCAACTGAAAAGATCCAAGAATGTGTCCAAAAAAGGATATGAGGGTTATTTCTCAGATAAACGCACCTTAGTGTGCTGTGTGTCGTAGCTGAAGGTAATGGTCACGTGGCTGGCGGATCCTGCCCTGTCGATCCTCACCACAGTGGCCTCTCGCAGTTCAAAAAGTTGGCTGCGCAACGCCGACTGGATAAAGTCCTCCGTGCGAATGTCCTCTACTCGACGCAAGGCTCCGCTGGCCAGCTCAATGTAGGATCCCCGGCGGAAGCAGGAATCTGAGTCTTCGGAGAAGCCGCTGAAATCGAGGTCATTGATATACTGGATAGGGAAAACCAAATCCCTGCTTACTTGTTCGACACCTGCACCTGTGGCGGTTGAGGTGGCCTCCTGATTGGATCGTAGCCGTAAGCGTATGATAGTTCCATGTGCATCTGCATGTCGACCTGTTCGCCTGAACGGATATTCATCAACTGAGCCACTTGCCTGCGAGTGGGGCAATTGATATACTTTCATTCAGCCAACAAGCGTGTTTTCCGCGGGATTTCCAGGAATGTCACCCACTCGGTCAGCCCGGCCGTTACCTGTTTACCAAGCCAGGATATGTATAATCTGGTCGAGGCAACAGGTACGCCGCTTAGACGCCGGCGATGGCTACCTGCTGGCGGATTTCCGCGAACAGCCATTGCCCATTGTCTCGCATGGACCAGAGAATCCCGAGCAGCGGCGGCGCCGTTCTGGCTGTTGCGCCAGGCGCCTTGAGGACTGTTCGCACCACCACTCCAACCTCCGAATGACCATTGCGGATTTCTGCTGAAGTTCATTATATTGCTTAGTTTATTTCGTTTTTCGTTTTCCTTTCTTTATGTTAACAGCCGACGTTGAGGATGACGAGGATACGATGGCCACCTTGCCAAAGCTAAAGCCCAAGGCGTACAAATAGTAGGCCCCAAAGAAATAGAGCACCCCGAGCGCCGAGTAAACAGAGGTCAGCAGGAGTGGCAGGAAGGGCAGACGCTTGTCCAAGTGCAGCAGGAATGAGAGCAAGTGCTCGTAAAGCGGAATGGCCAGAAAGCCCAGCATGTACAGCCATTCGAGAGCGTGGAAGCCCCGGAAACCGGGAAAGATGCGGTACAGTTGGCCGTACAGCATGGCCACGTAGGACATATACAGGGAATACCGAGGAATGAAGAGATCCGCGTCGAAGAGCAGCGGAAACAATGAGAAGTAGCCGGCAACGGCCAGGATGTAGGCGTACCGGGCATCCTCCCGGTTAACAAGGGTCAGGAGACTGCAAGTTAGTGGGGTCTGTTAGTGGACCAATCGTTTTTGTTAATGTGCGGCGACTCACCAAAGCGGGACGAGCACCATGAGAATGGCCTTTTCGTGGACATGCCAGCCAAACACAAAGGAGGAGCAGCCGCACAGGACAACGGCTCGCAGGAAGACCAAAGGACTTTGACTAGAAGTTATAAGAGGGATTCGGTTAGTAATCGGTTTTCTAGTTTGCAGATGTAGCTCACTTTTTGGGACTCCTGAAGAGCTTCACCAGAATGGGCAGCATGAAGAGAGCAGTCAAGGCGAATGTTACAGGTGGTGTGATCGATGGCAGTACCGCATGTCTAACCTCTTGCACCAACCCCGAAGTGGTCGAAGCTCCGCCATCCTGCACTTTCAAGACTCCCGAAGCCACCTTGTCCGCTGTGTTGTAGAGAGCCCAGAAATTGGGCGCCCAGTAGGCGTGCGTTAATCCCCTCTTGAATGGAAAAAGGCGGGAAAAAACCTGCGGCAGTTGCTTCCAGAAAGGTCCAAAGGATACGACGAACGGTGTCAATCCCACGGCCAGCAGCTTGACAAGGGCAACCGCCGTGGACAACACATTCGCCTGTTCCAAGCAGTAGAACCTTAGCAGGTAGACAGCAAACGCCGGCGCCAAATACAAAAATATATGTTTGAAGTTAAGCAGCACGGCGAAGGCAAAGGCGCTCCAGAGGAACCGCTTTCGGATGAGGAAGCCGATGCTCAGGAGCAGAATGCCAAACAGGAATCCGTTGTACTGGAAGTGAATGTGGTCCACGAAGATCAGTCCCACGTTGAGCAATAACAGCATGGAGCCGGCAAAGTGCTGCTGCGTGCCTCGCGCCAAACCCAGAGATCCCAGGCAGCTGCGCACACCGAGCACATAGACCAGATCTGTGGCAATCACCGAGAGTCGCTGAAAGTAGACGGTACCCTTGGACTTGTAGTTGAGGTTCTGCACCTCCAACATCCGGGGATCCACAAACCTGGCCACTTGCGACAGCAGCCATTCAAAGTGAGCGAAGAAGGGCGGATAGTCCAGCGTCCACTCGCTGGTCGCCTCCACATACCAGCGGTCCAGGGGCAAACTGTGGGTGATTGCCAGCCAGTTCCGGTGCACCTCGAAATCTGTTGAGTGGCTACAGAGATTGGGAGTGATTTATTGGATTTGATCTTGCGGAATACAAGCGCACCCACTAGGCGGGGATGAGGAGGATTTTTAAGCCGGTGGCTATGCCCACCAAATGCCAGAAGAGGTCCTTCATCTTCGATTCTGTCGGGGATTGGGATAAGGAACCACTCTTCTATTTCTTATCAGCGGCGTACGTCGCCTCCGATTGTCCTACCCAGATTTGGCTTGGAAGTAGCTAGAAGCGCTTATCGATTACAACTATTATCGGTCCGATTTCGCCGCTTGGACACACTGGTGTTGTAAAGTTTTCTCAGAGCTAGAATCCTCACTTCAATCGATTGGGAAAGAGTCATCGATATAAAATATTAGGGGGACTCCAACTAATCAAATGTTGGTTACTTATTAAAGCTTAGAGCTGAACATATTTAGTGCCACTAACTTTCATTTAAAAAATCATTGCCCTAAATCATTTTATTAAATCTAACAATTTAAATACAAAATGGACATACCTTGTTAGATTCTTGATTCGAATACACTGATTCCATAATTCCATACCAGGTTGAAAGGTATTGCCAATCACCGCCTGAAATCAAAGGCAATAAATAAATATATCATCAAAATGGATTAACTTTATGAACCCACCCGTTGGGTGCGTGACGCACTGCATCGTGGAGTATAGTCCAGGAGAGGACATCTCAGTACAAAACCATCACAAGAACCACACGCACACACACTCACATCAAATACTTCGAGAAGTTCCAGAAAGGGACTTCCGGTATCTCCGGTCGACTGATATTTCGGCTCAAATTAGCGGGTATCCCATGACGGATTGACCAGAATTGGTTGGGAATTGAAGTGTCAAAAAACCGTCAAAAATTATAAATTTTCATTGCATACCTTGAGGGGCAGTAAATTCTATTAACATTATTTTGTGTTTTGGTTTTCATTGCATACCTTGAGGGGCAGGCAAATGTTATTAACATTACATTCCCATTATTTTGGTTTTTATTAATGTTATTCAACTTTTGATCACTGTTATGTTAAGAAATTGCTTGTAGCATATTGGACATTGCAGTTTCGATGCTGTGTGTTGTTTTTCGATTGTTGCATGTTGCATGATGCATGATGCATGTTGCATGTTGCATGTTGCATGTTGCATGTTGCATTTTCGAAAAACAATCGGTAGTTAAAAACATCGATACTTGCATAAGGCAAAAACATTGGCATAATCGATAGTACAATCGATGCTTTTCCAGCCCTAGTGTATGTGTGCATTACGCATTTCATTTGCGAATTTGAGCGTCGAATTTGAACCAATATTCTGGACTGTAACCGGTCGCCAGAGTTCCACGGTTGCCGCCAACGCCGAGCTTAGGAAAATAGCTATTTGGGCCATGTACGCCACGAACAATGGAGGCACGAACAAGGCGCCAAACAGGTAAGTTCATTTGGCAAACTGAGCAGTAACTCAACGCCCCTCCCCCAAAAACAAGCGGTACAGCAGAGATTTTTAACATGCGCCGCTCCTTTTTGTTTTTTCCCTCGCCAGCAATGCCACCTCCATGTTCGACAACACCATCACAGTGACCCCCATTAAAGTGGAACTTGGGCAGGCGTATGGTAAATCCCAGAATCCTGCAGCAGCGGTGGCGATGCAGCGAAGAACTCCCAATGCTGTGGTGGTCACCACGACCTCTTCCTCCCAACAACAACAACAGCAGCAGGCGGCCCAGCAACAACAGCAGCAGCAGCAGCCTGTTTCCATGGGCAGTCTCGTCTCCAATGCCTGCACCTTGGTAAATCCCAGCATGAGTGTGACGGTAGCTACCACTGGAAACGCCACCGCCAAGGAAAAGACCACCAAGGCGACCAGAGCGCAGGTGGCCCGCAAGCCACCGCCTACCATAGACAACTTCTGGCCGAATATTGTGAGCGAGGTGCGTGGAATTGGCCAGGTGGACGCCAAGCACCAGGTGCTACCGTTGGCGCGCATAAAGAAAATCATGAAGCTGGACGAAAACGCCAAGATGATTGCCGGCGAGGCGCCGCTTCTGTTCGCGAAGGCCTGCGAGTACTTCATCCAGGAGCTGACCATGCACGCCTGGGTGCACACCGAGGAGAACCGTCGGCGCACGCTCCAGCGCTCGGACATTGCCCAGGCCATTGCCAACTACGACCAGTTTGACTTCCTCATCGACATTGTGCCGCGCGAGGAGATCAAGCCGTCGCTGGTGCAAAAGGTCAAGGATGCCATGAATTCCAATACGAGCGGAATGTCTGGATCTTCCAGCAGTACCGCCTCCTCGTCCAACGCAGCCACCTCGAATGCGGCCGCCTCGGTGGCTGGCAGTGCTTCCGCCACGGGCAGTTTTGTAGCCAGTGGCTCCACCGTACCTGCGGCCACCGCTGGCGGCCTTAAGCTGGAAACCACGGGCACAGCGACCGCCGCTGAGGTTCTTGGCTTCAGCACCGTCAATCCAGACATCTTCTCAGCACAACTGCAGCAGCAGCAGCAGCAACAACAGCAGCAGCAACAGCATGCGGCGCAACAGCAACAACAGCAGCAGCAGGCGCATCACCAGGCACATCCGCAGCAGTTGCAGATCATTCAGCAGGGCGCTGGTGGGCAGCAGTTGCAGTACTTCATCGCGCTTCCCGGCCAGCAGGCGGCGCAGCTCGTGCAGCAGGTGCAACAGCAGCCGCAGCCCGCCCAGAACCATCTGCCCAGCGGTCTGGGCATCAACATAGTGTCGGCCCAGCAACCCACCCAGCAGTTAATCCTGACCGCCGGTCCCAATGGACAGCTGACCGCTACGCCAGCGCCACAAACCGCCGCCCAACAGCAGACGGCCCTGCTCCAGAATCTCGCCCAGCAACAACAGCACCAGCAACAGCAGCAGCAGATTCAGCTGCTTCAGCAAGTGGTCACGCCAACTGGGGAAGTGACTAATGTGCCGGTAAGTATTCTTATTTTCCAATTTCCAATTCAGGGATTACTTATTGAAATGGCTCTCTTCCCAATGACAGATCGCCATCAATGCCAATCATTTGCATCTACTCCAGCGCCTGCAAATGCAGCAGCAGCAGCAACAACAGCAGCAGCAACAGCAGCAGCAGCAACAGCAGGTTATCATTCCAACGCAACTGCTGACGGCGCAGCAGCTCCTTCAACTGGGCGGAGCACCCACGGTGGCCCATCAGCAGCAGCAGGTGCAAGTGCAGCAACAACAGCAGCAGCCTGTCCAGGTGCAGGTCCAGCAGCAGCACGCCAATCTCAGCCAGAGCAACGCCAGCGCAGTGGCTGGCGGCACGCCGATCTTCATCAACTCGACCAACTTGTCCAGCGCCCAGGCGGCCACGCAGCAGCAGGCGGTGCAGCAACAGCACCAGCAGCAACAGCAGCAGGCGCAAACGATCACCACCTTGTCCGCGGATCGCACGCTAACCGGCGGATTTCGGTAAAAGTTAGGCAATAGATGGCAATCCGAGCGAACGAACGGACGGACGGACGGACGGAAAGTTGGCAATCATATCGAAGCATCGGGAGGCATTGGAATCGGGCATTGGCAACGGGCATTGATTGCGCCATCTCCCATCATCCAGCACAATGTATAATATTATAGTTTACGTAGTTGTATACGATTGTATATCGGAGGAGCAGGAGATTATATATAGCTAGTGTCTTAAGACGTAGGCATCTGTGTAGAAACGATTTCTCAATTGTAATTTATTGCTGTCCCTCCCGCCCCTGGCTGCAGGTTTCACCTCCTCCAAAACAGAAAAAAAACACCGCCACCTCCACCATTTTAAAAGTAGCACATAGAGAGAATAATGGGAACCTAGTGTACGACGAGGATGCCACCGGTCCAGAACGTAACCCAGCGATTCGCGTGGCATCCGACATTTATTATGTATTTGTATTTCTAACTAAGCTAAGCTCTGATAAACAATTATAAGCCACGAAGGACTATGTGCCAGAAACTCGATTGCTGTGTTGTGTGTGTTCACTTTCTGGCCAGGATCTTGTTGATGTCCTGCAGCTCGCGGGTGCTCCACGGCTCCAGGGGATCGGGCGGCGATTGCGTCTTTCGGGCGTAGGCCGATCGACCCCGCTGGCTGCGCTGCTCCTCTGGCTCGTCACTTTCCTCGGGGGAAACCCTAGGATGGGATAGGGGAGGAAAGGGATTTAGGGGACAAAGCGCTGGTGGAGCAACTCACTTGTTGCGGCGACGAACGCGAGCACTTTTGGCCCGGCGAGCGGCCTCGTCCTGCGATGGCTGGCACTTGCGCAGGTGAAACTGCTTCATGGTGGCGTGCACCTCCTCCGCCGTGGGCAGCTCCTCGCTGTCCTGTCCCCCGTTGCCGTCCTCCGTTTCCACCTCGGCCTCCTGTTCGATGGTCAGCACCTCCTCCGCCACGGCCTCGTCGAAGTGGAGGCCCTAAGATGGCAGGACAAAATTAGCATAATGCTTGTATTTTTTAAATAGGTTTCTCTACCATTTCCACATCCAAGCCAGGTGGCGCCCACACCGAAGACATCGGCTGGAACTGGCCGTGGCTGTGACCCTCGAATCCCTGCTGCTCCCGTCGGATGTCCGCCTTGGACAGGGCGTTGTGGGTCCGCTTGGCCAGAGAGAGCTTGCCCAGAATGGGACCGCCGCTGTCGCTCTCCTCCGTCTCCACCTCGGCCAGCATGGCCATGAACTCCTCCAGCTTCTTGGGATCCACAATGTCCTTGGGGTCCTGGAACAGGTTGCTCAGGTTGGACATGGGCAGGGGCATGGCCATTAGGTCGGGTGGGGCCACAGCTGGAGCAGCCGGAGCCAGAGCAGCGGGCATCGGAACGTCTGGCAGCGGATCCATCTTCTTGACCACCGGTGCCGGTGGCTGCGTCTTCATCGTCTGCTCCACCAAGTCGAAGGCCTTGTTGGCCAGCTGCTGCAGGCCGGCAAAGTAGTGGGGGTCGTGCGTCTCCGGCCGCTGGTCCGACATCATGATCAGCTCCCTGAAGGGATCCGGTGCGGGAGGCGCCGGCGGAGGAGCCGTCACCGTGCGCAGGGCAATGCCATTCGAGGAGGCCGGATCGTTGGCAAAGGTCAGCATGTCCATGGCGTTGGTGAAGTCCGAGTCGGTGTGCAGGTTGTAGGGATCCTTGAGCTTCTGCTTGGTGACCTTCACGGGACTGGAGATGGAGGCCCGGCCCCACATGAGGCGGCGCATCTCCTCGCCGGTCATTCCGCGCTTCTTGAGCGCCGTCAGCGTCACACGGCCCACGCGCTGGCGGGGATTGGTCCGCAAAAAGAGTGTTAAAAGTGTGGATAAAAGGAGGAGGAGTGGGTGCAGCCCTCACCTTCCAATTGGAGACGGCGCCCTTGCGCTGCTTGGCCCTGGTCTTGCTCTTGCTCTTGATGACCATCACGCCGCGCACCTCGAAGCCGGAGTCGTCGGAGGGACCCAGCGGAATGGAGTAGGCCTCCAGATAGCCCTTGGCATCCGCCTGCGGCACCGCCCGCTCCAGGGTGACCACGATCTTGGCCCACTGCTTCATCCACTCCTTCTCCGACTGCTCGATCACGGTCACGTAGGTGTTGCCCATCATGGCGATCAGCATGTTGAGCAGCAGGATGGGCACGAAGATCATGAAGATAACGAACACGGTCTTGGAGAGGTTCGGGTACGTCGTCTGGTTCAGATCGGGGTACTGCAAGCGAAGGTCAAAGGTCATCATGATATCACACAGGTGGTTAAAGCACTCTGTTGTCTCACATTATAGTCGCCCAAGGTGGTCTGGAAGAGGGCCATCCAGGTGCTGGTGTACGTGTTGAACATGGTGGACTGCACCTGGGGGTGTCCCTTGTACAGGAAGTAGAAGGCCTGCGAGAATCCGCACAGCACAATGCAGTAGATGATGCCGAAGGTGAACATGTCGCCCGTGATCATGGAGTAGATCATGGTCACAAAGGGACCCGTCAGCCGAATGGCGCTATTGGGAGCAGCGAGCAGGACAGGATTGGCAAGGGTTCAGAACGGAGATAAATCAGAAGAGCTTACCCGGCAAAGAACATTAGCAGAAACCAGGAGCCCGGAACAGCGAAGATCAAGATGGCCTCCTCGGTGTCGGTGTCCCCGATCAGACGGAACGGAATGCAGGCCAGGATCAGCAAGTTGGAGAACAGGAAGATTGCCTTGGCTGGGGCATGGGACTGGGGGATGTCATAGTATAATTATTATTAAATTGTATGTGTAATCCTTCCTGCTTTTAAACTTTTCTTGTAATTATTCTGTTCTTTTAAAGATAATATGATATCTGATGATTATGTAGTTTTACTTGGAGCTGAACATGGATCCTCACCAGTTGCTTGAGGAAGGCGGATAATCCCTGGTTCTTGATCTCGTCGCCCTGCTGGAAGATGACGTAGCTGAGAACTCCGGCCAGAGTGGCGAACTCGGCGCAATATCGCGCCACCGTTTGGGCATTGTAGTCGCCACCGTCGCCATCGCCATCGCCTCCGTCGCCCGCCTCCAAGTCCTGCAGAGCGGCTGCCGACGAATCGGATCCCTCGGAGTCTTCCCCCTCGTCCTCGCCATTGTGGGCGGGTCGCAGGTAAACCGACACGGAGAGGCACAGCAGATGGGTGGACAGGATGAGGAGGCGTTTCAGGAACTGGTTCTGCGCGAACGTCTTCCACTTCTCCTCCAGCAAGCGCTGGATGATGCCGCCGTCCAACATGTCCAGATGCTCCGGCTTTGTTCCATTCAGGATGATAAACAGAGCGGAGTTCCAATCTTATTTATCCAGTTAATGGAAATCGTAACAGGGGAAAAAAGTAATTATAATGGAATTAGTATTATTGATAAAATACTCACTGGTCCTCCCATCCGGCAGAAGTGTGTCCAATGCATTTAGAGGATATCCCGAGCAGGTGATGTTGCTGTACCGCCAGAACTCGCGGGCGGAGAGCTCCAACATCTCGCGGAAGACCTCCGCTCGTCCCAGCTTGCAGGCGAGGGTGAGCGGCGTCAGGCCCGTCTGGTTCACGATGCCGTTCTTGGCCGGCGTCTTCGGGTGGCGCAGGGCATAGCCGAACATGTCCAGCTTGTCGCAGACGACCACCATGTGGAGGATCATGTTGCCAAAGGAGTCCTGGGCATCCGGATCGGAGCCGCAGTCCACCAGCAGGTTGTAGACACTCTCGTTGGCGCAGCAGGCGGCCCAGGCCAGCGGGTACTCGCCCATGTAGGCCAGTCCCTCGTAGTCGGTGCTCTTGGCCGGATGGGCCCGCTGCTGGTCGCGCGGCAGGAAGAAGCTGCCGATCGCCCGCTGGTTGATGTCCGCCCCCGCCTCGATCAGATCCGCCACCAGCTCGTTGTTGCTGTAGGCGATGGACAGGTGCAGGGCACTCGCGCCCAGGTACTCCTCGCCCTCCATCACGTCCAGCGCCAGGTTGGGGAACACGCGCAGCAGCACCCGCGCCAGCTTCGTGTGCACCTTGGAGTCGCAGATGATGAGCACGTGGAGCAGGCTCTCGCCCAGGGCGCCGCGGTACTGCATCTGCCAGCAGGCCTTGTGGTCCTCCCACTTGCCCAGCGGATCGTGGATGGACAGCGACGCCTCGATGGGGATGGTCACCTCGGTGTGGTCGCGGTACTTCCAGCGCAGGAACTCCGCCCGGTTGATCACCTGGCCCTTGCCGTCGTTGTACATGAACACCCCGAACTGCTCGCGGATCAGCTGCTCCACGGCGATCAGTCCGCCGGAATTTATGGCGTCGATGAGGTCGCCGCCTGGTCAGTAAATTCATATAAAATAATTCCATTCCAATTTTAAAATGTGTAAAACTTTTAAGTTAAACAAATAATGCAGTTCATTGGGAAAAAAATGTAAAAAGCTATAAACTTATGTATACTGTGCTGGGCTTTGGCTATTTTTCAGCAAAGCAATTTTTAACAACTTTGGAAAGGGGTTTAATTATATAAATTAAAAAAAAAAAACTAATGCAGTTTGTTAGGGAATGAAAATACAATTTCATAGAGGAATACCACTTTGAAATCGGAGATAAATTAAAAGAATTATGATAATAATAGTGCAGGGAAAAGACCACTTTTCGGTGAGGTCAATGTTTTAGAAATTTGGAAGGGGGTTACATCATAAAAATTACAAAAAATGGATCGAAAAATTAAAATTTATTTACTGATGCCGTTTGTTGTAGAATTAAACCACATTGCTAAAAAAGTTATGGACTAGAAGCCCTGCGTTTTGCCAACTTTTCTGCGAAATTCTTTGGAAACTTAAAGAATAAAAATTAAGAAATAAAAGTACAACAAAAAAATAAAGCAAAAATGTATCTAATATTACTTAAACTTACTATATAATACACAAACACTCACCCCTCTTATAATCCGCCAATTTGTAGAGCAGACACTTGCAGGCGGTGGCCGAGGATTGGGAGATGACGGCATCCAAGATGGCCCCTGGCTTCATCTCCGGGGCCTTCTTGCGCAGGCATTTCTTCAGCAGGAACTTCATGTCCTCCGCCTGGACTCCAATCCGTGATCCGAATCAAACTGGCCTTTTGGCAAAATGCGCGCAACCTTCTCACATTGTTTGTTCGATGAGCCACGATATCAACAACCGAAAGACAACACGTTACCCTGGTAACAAACTGTCAGAGGAAACCTGCCTTAAGCCAACAAAACGAACATTGCTTGAATATAGATTAAAAAGCTATTGTATAATGTGAAATTCGAATTTTACCGCGGGCGTATACAGAATATAACTCAGATAAGTCAATTTCTGGCACCATTTATTTTCGAAAGTGGTTCCAAAATATTTGCTAAAAATTACATTTTGAATTGAATTGGCCTTTGTTGGGTTGGCTGTATTATTAATTTTTTTTGTTTCATTTTGTAGTAAAGTGGAGATGGCCAACTCCATAAAGACATGGACTGCCGCCGATTATGCCAGTGCCGCTGGACGAAAACTGGGCGGCTCGGCGCCCAATGCCATGGACTTTATGAGTCGCCTCGACTCAAATGTTTCGGTAAACACTAGTTTCCCACAAATCTGCTTTACTTCGCACGATTTTCGCTAAGATGCTCAGGAAAATATTCTCCTTTCAGAGTATTGATTTCAATTGCTGCACGGCAACTAAAAATGATTCCTCTGGATTAGTGAAGATTCACAAAAGGGACTCCGACTCCGCCGGAAAGTTCCAGCCAGGTGGCCAAAAAAACGGTGCAAATTGGTGGAGAATATCAAGGTGGAGCCTAGTAGTTCGCAGGCAAAGGAGGCGCCCGAGTCCAGAACCGATTTCCTGCGAGAGGTAGGACAATCCGAGGAATGTATTCTTTTTAGTTGTTATTCCCACAACTTGTGTTACAGCTGCGCAGCTTGGTTAGCCAGGATCAGTTTCGCCGCTTCAGAAAGGCTCTGTTGGAGTACAAAAGCGATCTACGGCAGCGACGAGAGCTTCCAGGCGCTGATGAGTGTGCTCAGGGGCGGACGCAGAAAAAAATTTTGGGGGGGTCCGATCGAAAAATTTTTGTTTTTTGGGGGGTCCGATCAAAAATTTTTATGTTTGGGGGGGTCCGATAAAAAAATTTGTTCCTTTGGGGGGTCCGACCAAAAAAAATTTTAGTTTTTATGGTTGAAAAGCCGTGTGCTGTAAGGAAATTTGAAAAAGTCTCAGATTTTGGGGGGGTCCGGACCCCCGGACACCCCCCTGCGTCCGCCCCTGAGTGTGCTCCTGGAGGTGCTTGCCGCACCCAAGATGCGCTACATGCTCGTCGGGATGCGGAGATATCTTAAGAATGAACACAAGGCCGAGTTCTATATGCGGCTAGCCAAACACGAGAAAGTCAGATAGTTCGTAAGGTAATGTGTTGACCATTTAAAAAATTATCCTCTCTCATATATGTATCATAAGCCTGGCTGTACTTTGTTTTTTTACCATGCAATTTTTTAATTACTAAATATAAATAAACATTAAATGTTGGTACTGCATTCGCGCCAGAATTTTTTTAAAACTTAATTTCCATTATTTTGAAAGAAATGTGTTATTTATAAAAGTATCGTTGTTTATATAGCTTGTAGGGGACATGCTTGACATTTTTTTAAATAATGGACAGCAGGCTTGGCAACAAATCTGCGAACTGCAGGCAGCGCACAGCGCATCCAATAAGGTCATTGCCAAACGGGCCGAGCTCCTTTTGTGCACAGTCCACATCCCCATCGTTTTTTGCACCGAGTCCGAGTCCGAAAACGAGACCGAGTGCAGCGAAAGCGCTCCGACTTCGGACTTGGGAAGGCACTCGTGTGGCAACCATCGTCCAAGGCGCACGGCACGCACGCAGAGCTGCCGGATCAGATAGCTGTAGCCATAGAGCCGTAGCTATAGAGCTTTTGGGGCAAGAGCCGAGCCCCCGGACCAAGCCCAGACCTGCTGATCCATCCGCCGCTTAGTTTGGGGCACGCAGTAAGTTGGACTCGTTGCACCTGCCTCCGCCCTTCCAGTTTGCATTTCCATTTGCAACAAGTAACAAGGGTGGGTGGTGCCGTTCAGCCCACGCAGCGACCTTGGCCTAGTTAAGCCACTTGCCTTAATTGCATTTTGTCGTCATCGCAGCGCAGCGCACATGGTGGAGGAGATTGGCTGCCAGAAGCAGACGGGCATTGTGGTCGCCATGCCCAGCCAGGTTGCATCGAGCACCGGAACTCCTACCCCAGCCACCGGCGTCATTCATCATCACCAGCAACAGCAGCAGCAACTCCAGCACCAGCATCAGCAGCAGCAGCAGCAACAGCAGCATCAACAACAGCAGCATCAGCAACTCCAACATCAACAGCAGCATCAGCAGCAGCAGCATCAGCAGCATCAACAGCAGCAACATCAACAACATCAGCAACAACAGCAACAACTGTCTAGCAACATGAGCCTGCTGACCGTAAAAGGCGGTCGCTATCTTTGGACCGATCGCGAGCTGTTGATGCACCTCCAGAACTACACTCCCCTGATCCTTCTCATTGACTTCGTGGAGAAGACCCGTACCAAGCGATTCTATGAGAGCTCCGAGCGCTACGAGATCCTCATGTTGGTCTTTATTATGCGAAAGGGAGCGCCGTTCTGCGAGAACAAGCGCTTTCCGGCGGAGTACTGGGTCAATCTGTCGGTGGGACCAATCGCCGAGGCCTTCGACCGACTGCAGGCGGCCATTGACATCCCGGATCCCCAGCTGCCGATACACATGAGCGTCACGGACCTGACCAGCTGGAAGCAGATGTTCGACCTGGCCATGCTGGACATCAGGCGGTTCGCGTACTACACCGATCCCTTGCAGCTGGCCGACGCAGGTGTCTTCAATCGGATCACCTTTGAGCAGCGGTTCGGAATGCAGTGGCAGGAGTAGTATTTTTAGCGGATCTCGTACAGGCTGCTGGAAGTATGTTGCGGTAAAGAGGATAAGGGCACACCCCTGCACCAACACTATTTCCGTTATGATGTTTAACCCATGTTAGCGATTTCCCCTTGGCGGTCTTAGGTTGTTGTATTATTTTTATAAAATTGCCAAGACGACGACAAAATACGATTGCATTCAGGCATTGTATATACTGCTGCCAATAGTTTCAGGACTACTTTAACTAAGATAAACAAAAAGGATACGCCGTTTTCTGCACCGAGTTATTTGTTGCAACAATCCCTACGTAGCGAAATCTACTGTGCCTTCTCCGACACCCCGGTACACATCCTTCCCAGTTCCCAGTTCCAGTCGCACTCCGAGCAAGTAATCACACTCCTTTTGTATCTGCAATACAGCTGTGTACTGTCGACGTAGGACCCAAAATGCTTTAATGGAAATAAACGTTAATTACTGTTCAAGCGCTTCTTTATCCTTGTAAAATTGTGTTACATTCTGTACGAGCACTTCTTACTTTAAAATTAGCTTTATGTACAAAAACATTCTTAGATAGAGATCGACCCGATTTTAAGGAGGCCCACTTACAGGGATCAGATGATCGTGGCTCATGGCTGCCGCTTCGGAATGCGCTCCCGGTCAAAGATGCCCAACAGTTTTCCGCGTGTCATCTCCTTAGCCTCTCGCAGTCCCAACTGATAAATCTCGTCGTGCATGGACTTTATCTTCTCAATCAGCTCCTCGGGAGTAAGCTGCGATAGTTCTAAATTAATAGAGAAGAACATTTAATACTGTTTACAAGTCTGTGTAATCGAGCTTCTAACGATTGATCTTGGCCATGTCCTCGCTGGTCAGGTTGTTGGCGTAGTCCGTAGTGCGCGTGTAGATGGGCGTGTCGCTCATGGTGAGGAACTCGTCCATTCCGGGAACTGAAGTGCCCAAGCGAAAAATCGTTATAAATGCCGCCAAGCTGGGATAACACACGTTTTTACACTTACATCGCTCCGGCCATTGGACAGGCGAGGCGCGCAGCGTTTCCAAGGAGATGAGCTCATCTTCTGGCGAGTCCGGTTTCGATTTGGTCTCCGGTTTTTGCTCTCCAACGGAGGTCTGGTTCCTGCTGGCCGTTGAAGCCTCTGCCACCTCTTCGTCCGGTTTCAGAATAGATTCTGCAAAATAAGTTCGTTTTACTACGTCTCTGACGTGGTCTTAACTCTCTCCCACCTGGCGCAAACCGTTCCGCAGATGACTCTGCCTTGTTCATGGTTTAAAACAGCAAAAACACTAAAAAAAAGAACAAAATTGAAAAAGTCCAAAAACTGCTCAGTGCGGCAGTTGAATAAACAATGCAGCGTTGCCACCCGCAAACTATCGGTATTGCGTAGCCAGTGTTGTAAAAGGACTAATAATCGTTCATATTGGAGAACAAAGGCCGGATTTCGCTGCTTTTATTCCGAATTATTTATAAACATAAGGCAAAACAACCAGGAAATTAAGGCACTTTAATAAATTTGAGTTTGGAGTCCAGAGCAGTAAAGCGAGGGGTCTCCCCTGCCACTTCTATTGTGCTCTCGCTCTCACTCGTTGTTGCCGTATAGAGACAACTCTGCGCGTGGAAAATGCTCTATTTCGCTCTTCCAGCAAATAGTATTTGGAGAACTGCGCATAGTGAGGCCGAAAAGAATTTTCCCAATTACTCAGACAACAGCTAATGGATCTAAAAACAATGCTTTCAGCAGTGTAGAAGGTTTGGCCCAAAAGAAATTTATTGTGATATCTTGACAAAACTCTTTTACACATTTCATATACTTTACAAAAAGTTTCATTCAACAGTATTAGCATACAGTATTAGCACACATATGTTTTACCTTGTTTTTTTAAATATGAGACACCTAAAAAAATTAAAAATTTAAAAGTAATTAGATGGGGCCTATTTCATATAATTCATCTTACGCCCACGGCTGGTCACACTTGCCGCGATGCGCAAACTTTTAGTCGACACTGTTGGCCCGTGCGAGCTCGCACTTTCTTTTGCTTTTTCAGTCGCTGCCCACTCTCACTCTTTCCACACACACTCTCACTCGCTCACACTCACCTGTTCCGCTCCCCCGCCCCCCTTGGCGACCTTAGTGCGACCGCTCCCGTTTCGTTTTTTTCGATTCAGTTGCCGTTTTAACTTCGCCGCGCAAGAAGCGGGACTTTTAGCTCGCTCGTGGCAAAAACACTGCAGCGCTGCACTCTGAATATTTCGTGTCTTTGGCGCCAATTTCGAATCACAGTCCGCTGGCGGATTAAACTGACCAACTAAAGATTCCCTTCTTGCTCACGACCCCACGGACTTCCGTCTTCCCACGCCCCCGCGCTGTGACTCCCATGGCAGCAAGCAAATTTTCTAGTAAGCAGGCAACAACAAGCACACATTTAGATGCGACATGTGCGAAAATCAGTGCCTTTTACTTTGACCTGGACAACACGTTGATTCCAACGCGGGCCGGCGACTCCAAGGCGATCAGAAAGGTGAGCAGCTACATTACTTCGCCCCTCCCCCCTGGTTCGATTTTGGGGGGTGAAAGTGCGCAGCAGGCGAGCCGCCCAGCTCTGAAATTTTCCACTGCAGCCCGCTGCCACTGTTACGTAGTCGAAAAACCCGGACGCTCAGCTGATAGCACGCGCACGAATTTCGATTGTTTATTTGCGTCGCGTTGCCCCACTCCTTTCCCCAAAATCCAAGTGCACTTCGCAAGGTCCTAACTTAAATATAACCACGGGTGTATGCACTCTAGAAGGTTATCGGCACGCCGAGCACACAAAAGCCCAAGAGCGCTACGTTCAAGTTTCGGAAAAGAAGTTCGGTTAAACCTTAAGGCTTAATAGCACCCAAATCGCTCATATATTGTCAGTCTCTAAGTTTCTACCCAGAATGACACCCGAAAAAAGAAGTGATTTTATTGCACCTTAAATACAATTTATTTCCAACTTTACTTCTTTCAAATCTAGAGGCCTTACACGAATTGTGCATTTGCGGAGATTGTATAGTTAAAGTACAAGATCCTTATGAATTTAAGTCATTTTCCTGCTTCAGGTAAAATACAGATAGCAGTTCAATTTTGATAACCGAAATATCTTATCAAAAATTTAAGTTAAATGTAGCTTCTAAGAATTTTTAATACACGTAAATGCACCTTTTTTTTTTAATTCTGATAACGATATATTTTAAGTAAGCTATGTTATGACCTTAAACAAAGGCAAAGCTTCTAGACAGTTTGCTTACTCAGTTGTTTTTAATTATCAGACAGAATATACCAGACCGCGCCCTCTTGAAATGTTCCACATTCATAAAGCGGAAAAACATAAAACTTACAGAAATTACCCGGTGGCTATCATTGGGCCTACATATGTATATTGAAATACGGAATGTGGATCGGCGGCAATTTCAGTTCAATGATTACGACAATTCGGACGATTAATCAATTGGCTTTGACTCGATCGAATGATTGGGTTAAATAATCTGACGCTTATAATTAACAGTGCGGATTTACGTATTATTAAATAAATTGCGATTCTTACGACACGCAGAAGACCTTTGAAAATGTAACATTTCCTGAAAGTTATAACTAGACGTAAAATTATTTAACAAGTACCAATAATACAAAAACGTTTTATACTCTACATTACCATTTGCTTTTAAGCTTTCGGATGTTTTGGAGAGTCAGTACCAGTTTAGCAAGGATGACGCCACACAGTCCACCCAGAACTTCCTAAAAGCGTTCCGCCGTTGTCCGGACAACTCGCAAACTTCGCTGGACTCGTGGCGTACTCATCTTTGGCGAGAATCACTCCCAGCACGCCACAAACACCTCGCGGAGCAGATTTATCCTCAGTGGCTGAGGCTGCGGTATCGCTACTTGGCCATTTCGGCAGACTATGTCCAGCTGCTGTTGCGGATGCGCCAGGCGGGCTACGCCCTGGCTCTCATCACCAATGGACCTTCGAATGCTCAGTGGGAGAAGGTAGCCAAGCTGCATGTGCAGGGCTACTTTGATTGCGTCCTGGTCTCGTCGGATCTGCCTTGGGAGAAGCCGCATCCGGAGATTTTCTATGCCGCCTGTAACTTCCTAAACGTAAAGCCGCAGGAGTGTGCCATGATCGGCGACAAACTGGAAACCGACATCATGGTAAGTCAAGCCTTCGCTTTTCAAAACTTTCCTACCACCGCAGTGTCTCGGAATATTCGGATGATAATAAATTGATTGCAAATTGCCTCCCGTTCGAGCGCCAATTCAACCTTTTTAATATCGTTGTTATTAATTGTAAACTTAATGTGACACGAATAATTTAAAAATTGTTTCCGAAGGTCTAACCACTGACTGTTTTCTTACCACTATTTTCAGGGCGGCCACTTGGCCCAACTGGGCCTCACCTTCTGGACACCACTGAGCAATAGCAGCTTGGCAGTGCAATCGCTGGAAGATGTTGAGTACAAACCGCACGTCAAGCTGGGTAATCTGCTGGAGATTTACAAGTACTTCCCGCGCCTGAATGCCATCGCTCCGTTGGACACGCCATCCACCTCGAGACGGCGTGGCAGTCACATGACCTCAAGCGGTCAGAGCAGTAGCAGCGGGAGCAGCTCCAGCTCAAGTTGCGAGCCGGGAACTGTGCAGGGATACCATCGTCACCATCAGCAGAGGCAGTGGCTGTATCGACGCGGGGTTTCTCTGCCCGCCATGGATTGCTCCAACAGCGAAGCGGAGAACAGCTGCGACAGCTTTCTCTAGAGAGCAGGGAGTCGGGATCAAAAGGATCGGGAGAATGTCGAAAAATGTACCTTCAGTTTACAAAACTATAGCTAAAGCGGAGACCGAAGAATGGATGTAATAACCACGGATGGTCAAAGGACAGCCAACCGAATTGGAAACGAAAGCAGGAATTTAAAGTTCAACTATAAACGGGAGGAGCCCGTAATCACGGTGAATCTCGATATCTGCCATTAGACTAAAATTAAGGCTAGCAAAACAGAATCGGAACACATAAACTACAGCATACAAATAGTGTAAACGAAATATGTAACTAGGGAAAAGCAAACCAAATGTATTTTTCTAAGCGAATATTGTGTCACATATTTTGTAAATTGATATAACACGCAACTGAAAGTACGTCAAGGTAAACGCAAAACACGAAACACAAAACACAAAAAGTGAAACTCAGGCGAAGACCACAAACATGAACCTAACGAGCAAAAAAACCGAATCACTGAAAAATCTGTAATTGTTATAGTTTAACCATGGATGTTCGTGAGTGTTAACTATTGTCTTAGTCGTGCAGTCTCCGAATTGTGGCATATTGTTATTTGCAACCACCTAGTCCCTCCCCACTCACGCATGCCCCTTTCTCTCTCACAAAGCCCAGGTTATTCCGCACCCACGCGAACTGCATCGTTGATGATATATGTATGTATATGGCACATAGCCAGCGTGCACTGTTGATCATGGATATGAAAATAAATGACACTGCGAAGCTAAGGTACCTGGTTTTTCATGAATATTACCGGAAAACTGAAAAAGTAAATCAGTTTAATAGAGTCCTGTTACTAATTTTTAGAGGATTTATCCCAAGATTTGCAAAGCTACAATACAATATATTCCATATACTTTCATATATATCTGCATCTCTTTCTACGATATGCAATACCAAAGATCGGTCCTTTCTTTCCATTTACTGTTACTAATTTGTGGAAGTAGTGTGTGGTAACACCGAAAAACTAGTCAAAATGCGACCCAATAAAATTTGAATTCAGTTTTTAGAGGATTTATCCCAAGATTTGCAAAGCTACAATATATTCCATATATATCTGCATCTCTTTCTACGATATGAAATACCAAAGATCGGTCCTTTCTTTCCATTTCCCGCATTAGTGTCAAGAAAAATGTTTCCCGTTAATCATAGCAAAAACAAGCTTGTTTTATTTGTTTCATTTATTTGGGGGATTTTTATTTGTTATGAACTACAATTACGCTATACGGTAAAATGGTATGTCGCCTGCAGAGTCAGCAAATAAAAGCAAGAACCAACACTGAATTTTTTGCAATTCTTGCAAACGTTAACTGGAGTTTTGTTCTTTTCCCCTTGCATATACCATACATACATGTACACACGGATATACATACATATATAATTATACTCAAAGTCACATACACGTAAAAAAAATTGGTTAAAAATTACACTTTTCAAGAGTCGAAAAACGAAACATTTTCACGCGAAACCGAGGCATATTGAAAATTCGGCTGGCTAGCTAAGCATGCTCTTGGCTTTTCTTAAGTTCGTTATTTTCTTACGCTTTAAGTTGTTTTTTATAAAAGAGCACTATTCAGACTACAAAATACCCTAAGAACCGTTTACTTGAAATGGATTATACATAGATAATGGACAAAAAGAAAAAGAAAACGTAACGTAACATAACATGGAGTTGTTGTTTTGTAGTGGTTGTTATCGTAGTAGTTATTAGCAGTTGATTCTGTCGTCGTAGTATAGTAATAGTTATCGTTCTTGTAAAGCATTGTACAACTTTGTCGCTTAAGTGTTAAACAGATAGGATGGGCCATCCTAGGTTCTTCGCCCATTTCACTTCGGGCTTTGCCTTGTTGGTTGCTCTGGCTTTCTCGTTTAGTTGCGTGTCGCATTTGCTGCATATATCTCCTCGATCTTTTTCCTGCGCTTTGTCAGCAGCGGATTGTTTGACTTATCCAGCGCCTTGATTTGCATCTGATGAATAAGAGTGAAACGAGTTTTTAATAAAAATATCGCAAACGTTTTCGTCTTTGGTCTCTACATAATAGCTTCAAGGTATTAACCAAAATTATAATGAAGATTATGTTGAAGCCAAGATGCACCGCACCACACGGCAGAAACCCACCTGATCGTAATCCACGCGCATGGTAGCTAGCGAACGCGTCATCTCCTCCTGCACTTCTGGCCAGGTCTCCTCGCTCTCCTTGAGCATCCGTCCCGTGCAAAGCGGCGTCTGTGGAACGGCATTGTACTGGGCGATCCACTTGTTGCGGATGACGTCTTGTATGCGCAAACGTTTGCTGGGGTCCACGTTCAGCATGCCCTTAATTAGATCCTTGGCCGCCGGGCTCACATTCGTCCACTCCGGATCGGGAAAATCATACTGGCCGGTGCGAATGCGTTTCTTCATGCCAGGCGAAATGGCCAGGCCGTGGTTGCTGTAGAACGGCGGAAATCCGCACATAATGATGTACATCACAACACCTAGCGACCAGATATCGCAGCTTTTGTCATACTTTTCAGGACCCAAAACCTCAGGAGCTGCAAAACAAAATGTTTGAGTTATTGGTTGGTAACTTATTGGCTATTTTGGTTTGGTTTACTTAGAACTATAGGCGCACTTACCCACGTAATAGGGAGTGTAACAGGGCGTCTGTAGCGTGTCATTGGTGAATGTTTCCTTGGCAAAGCCAAAGTCCGTCAGTTTGAGGATAGCGTTCGGCTGTGAGGTGGTGTACAGCAAGTTCTCCGGCTTAAGATCGCGATGCGCGATATCTCGGCTGTGCAGATAATCTATTGCCGCACAGATCTCGTGCATGATTTGTGCTGCTTCCCGTTCTGTGAAGGCGCCATCCGCCTTGTCCTGAATCCGCTGGAAGAGCTCACCCCCCTCCATGCATTCCATGACCACTAGGAGGCACTTCCTGCCGCTGTAGGTGTTCTCGTAGACGTCGATGATGTTCACGATGTGCCGGCAGCCGCTGACTCGCCAGTGGAGATCCACTTCGCGCCGGGCCTTCTCGTTATCCAGTAACACTTTAAGGGCATAGTTCTGTTTGGTGCGGCGGTGGGTGCACTGCACAACCTTCCCATTAATTCCCAGCCCAAGAACCGTATCGGAGATCTCGTAGTCATCCACCAAGGGGGTGGTCTTCGGTTGCCGTTGGTTTTGCAGCGAAAGCATTCTGGAATCGCCTGATCTCTAACTGCTTAGAAATAGAGATACATACAATTTGTCACAAAAGTGTTTTCGCGTGAAGATTTTTTTTAGAAATTTCCCATTCTTATTGAAAAAAAAGCACTTTGCATTAAGTTTTGAGAAAGATTTTTTTATTTTATATTATTTATGTATTTCTTAAGAATACACAAAAAACAAAACATAAATTTTCCATCTAACAAAAAAGATATAACAAAAACAAAAAAAGTCAACATATTTTCCACTGTCAAATAAGTGTTTTCGTTTTAAGGAACTGGGTGATTACTTAACGCTAATCTTATAATAATAATATTTTTTAATATTATTTAATATTTGGTATGATGCCCTTTGGCCTTAACAACAGCTTCAAGCCGTAATTTCATTGAATTAATTAGTTTTTCTATATAATCTATTGGGATCTGATTCCATTCTTCTAAAATAAATTCCTTTAGCATTGGTCGCGATGTGGGATGCCTTTTTGCGACCTTCTTTTTCAAATACGCCCACACATTCTCTATAGGGTTGATATCCGGGCTCTGGGCTGGAGTCTCAATCACCTTACCGCAATTATAGAGCGTCCACATTCGTACACTGTGAGCCTTATGTTTTGGGTCGTTGTCTTGGTAAAACTTAAAGCTGCGCCCAAAACCAAATGTGTTCGCGCTGTTTACCAAATTGGTTTTTAAAATCTCAAGATATTGTTTAGCATCCATCGTATTTTCGATAAATACTAAATCACCCACTCCTTTGCTTGAGATGCACCCCCACACCATGACGGACAGCTTGCCGAATTTTACTGTCGGTATAATGTTTTTATTTTGTAGGGCACACAACAGTTTTCTCCACACTCGGTTGGGTCCTGTAACATTATTTTCGACTCGCCACAGCAAATCAAGTCGTTCCAATAACTTGGGGGCTCATCCAAAAGAGTTTGAGCGAATAAAAGACGCCTTTCAACATTTTGTTTTAATAAAAGGGGTTTTTTCTAGCTACTCGGGATGTGAAATTATGGCTTCTGCGAATAGTTTCATGAAAAACATCCACTCCACATTCTTCCCTTACCTCCACAGCCAGTTTTCTTGTTGAGATCGTGGGGTTCGGGTCTACTTTTTTCATTAAAATCCGATAGCTCTGTTTGAGAGCTTACCCGGCCGACCATTTACTGGCTAATTTTCGAGCCTATTCTCATTTTTTGCCAGACTTATTATATTTTGGACAGTTCTTATATTCAATTTAAACAAATTTGCAATGTCTGCAGTACTATTCCCAATGGTATGGTTGTAATATACCAATTGGCTCACATCAAAAGAAACTCTTTTGCCCGGCATTGTAAAACACTTATTTATACGACTATTAACGTCTGTAAGTACAGAGAACTGACATTGAACAGCTCAAAATGCATATTTATATCATCTAGTCAACCCTAAAAGCATATTCTAGAAAAAAAATTCAAGAAAACACCAGAAATGTAAAAACGAAAACACTTATTTGACAGTGGAAAATATGTAGACTTTTTTTGTTTTTGTTATATCTTTTTTGTTAGTTGGAAAATTTATGTTTTGTTTTTTTGTGTATTCTTAAGAAATACATGAATAATATAAAATAAAAAAAAATCTATCTCAAAACTTATTGCATAGTGGTTTTTTCTTAATAATAATGGGAAATTTCTAAAAAAATCTTCACGCGAAAACACTTTTGTGACAAATTGTATGTATATTATTTCTGACTGTTGATTTTAACACTCTGTAGTATACTAAAGGTATGTCATTTTTTAATGCAAATAATAATGAGAAATCCTAACATTTAGTATCCAGACGATGCGATATAAAACTTCAATATGCTAATATGTCAAATACATATGTACATGAATATTCAAGGACAATATTACAACTCTCATGATGCATTTGTTTTGTTGAGTTCTATTTTTTAGAGTGTAAATAAAAAGCTTCACTTTTTAGTTTTCTAGTCATATACATACATACATTCATACACATGTACAAAACCATACATATGTGCATCTTTGGTGTAGAATGGAAACCTCGGAGTGCTCCGATCTCAACTGAATTCAAATAGCATGCAAATGAATTTACAGAAACAGTATGAAGAAAATGGGGATGGAAGTTGGATGGGGGTCGAAATAAACCCATACTCGTTGCTCATTTTCATGTTTTTCAGAGGAAAAAAGTTACACAATTCTCATTTTTACGAAAAAACAGGTAAACGGTGGTAATTGCATATGTTCGACGATATCGCTTATCGCCATATATCGATAACCGGGGAGGGGTGCACTTGTGTGCGTTCTGATGAAATTATGCTTATTATGTTTTGTTTATTTTGAATACATTACGCATTCCCACAAGTAAAAGTAATGTTTTCCTTTTGTTAAATAAGTTGGTTAACGCGTATTTTACTGACCACACGCTCTTACGCTCACTGGGAAGCCCACTCACACACACTCACATATCATCCATACAAATGCAAACAATGCGTCATGTTTTCTCACTGCCGAACTAGCATTTCTATTTTTCTGGTTTTCACTGTACACGCCAGTAGGTTTTTTCTTATCTTGTTATCGCTCCTCAATAGTTCTTAGGTGGCCCAGTCCTTTTGGCTAAGCGCGTCCGATTCGCGCTCCTACGGCCTATTGTTGGATATTTTTTGCATTACACCTGGAGTTCAGGTGATCGTAATTACCTTCCGGGTATTTATTTTACCGTGCTATGTAACTGAACGAAAAAAAAAGAACAACAACCCGAAACGAAATTTATAGTTATTATTTAGAGCTGGGAAGCGAACGATGGTACCATCGATAATAGCCAGCATGCTCTATCGATGGTTTGATTATTATAGCGATGCTAAACAATAATTTGAAACAGCTATAACTGTGTACCAACTAACCAAAAACAGTGCCACTAGCTATAATTAGATTGATTTTACCCACAGTCTATAAAACTTCAGTGATAATAATAGAAAGAAAATTTAGACGAAGAAAAATCGAAACCATCGTGAAACGGAATATCGACATTCTCCCTTCTCTAATACACATCGATATTTTACGTCTGTATCGTGCAATCGATTTCAGGAAAGCCAATGGTCCGAGCCTATCGTTTTTTTGTTTATGTTGCAGCTTTTCACAAATTGCTTTGAAAAGTGGTAAAAAAAGTGGTTGCCACGGCCAAACTGACTGTGCGTCGCGTTCGTCGAGCCTTGGTCCGAACCCGTGAGATCCGCAACACCGAGGTCTGTGATCCGGACCCAGTAATAAGCTATAATTCACATATCCCGAATGATTTTGATTCGTTTTATTGGCTTGTGCTGGCGAACAAACAAACAGGATACGCTAACGCATAGTCACCTAACATAAGGTGGAAACGCATATAGCTTCGCCGTTTTAAAAACAGATTACGCAGTTATGTCGCAGGTACTCAGCCCCCACAAACAGGGTGTGGCAGAGGCGGATGACCTGGACTATACGAATAGCAGCTCGATTATTGAGTTTTTGGCCAAGGAGCAAGACTGCGGTGGAATCTTGGCAGACCCGGATCCGGAGTCCATTTTCCAGGAGGTAAGTCGGCTGTCCGACAGCACGGATATGCGATCCGTTGACGAGTTGCTCCAGGAAGCGGAGCGCCTGATCCAACAACAGCTGCGTCTGGGCGGAATCGCCCCGCAATTGGACAGTTCCGTGGCCTCGGCAACCGCTAAATCCCTTGGAGAGGAAGACGCTCCCGGAGATGCATCCTCCTCATCCCCGCAGTCCTCGCACAGCAGCATTCGGCTCAACACACGCTACACACATCGCATAGAGCACTTTCCCGCTCCTCTGCCGTCAAAAAGTGGCGGAATTAATGGCAAGGTCCGACCCAGATCCGGCTCCAAGTCGTCGGCATCGCCCACTTCCGTCCAGACGCCACTGGACAGCAATAATGGTGCTGGTTTCGCCGCATTCGTTGACAACTTGCCCTCGGAATCAGTCATTTCAGAGGAGTCCACGCCCAAGGACATGGACAACCACACGGCGGCCTTGGCGCAGCTACAGCTCCAGCTTCAGGACAATACGGATGACGACGAGGACACGGTAAGTCCCAAGGTTACAAATATGAAATTTCCCTACTTGTTTGCATTTATGACTATTGGATTTTATTTTATCGAGACCTTTTACAAGTCTTTGTTTTTGAAAAAAAAATGTATCCAATTGGATCAATGAATGAGTTCGTAGCTGCTTGATGATATGATAATGCTTATTCTACTTTCTGTCGGGAATCAAGTGTATTGGGTTAAGCCGTGGGCTAAGGTGTTTCTTGTTAAAATTTCTTTTAGTCAGTTTTGGAAGTTTCTTGGGTCTCTCTTTTGTCTGGCATAAAGTAACTGTTTTTTCTTTGATATTGTAACGTATTGTAATGTATGATCCAATGCAAGTCCCGTTAGATCCGCACAAATAAATGACCATACCGATCTGTAGTAATAAATAGCGTGGACTTGTTTATTGCCCGTCGCGCGGATTCAAAGGATAAACCAGCCCACCCGAAACACACAGTTTCCCTCAGCCAAACACGCACACAAACAAACATAAATAATCCTTCACACACACACACGCAGGTCAAACATAAAAGGTGGGCTGAACAAAAAATGAAGCGGGGGTTACAAATTACTCTAGAGTGGGGAGGATTAGGAGGCGTTTAGCCGGACGAGCTGGGGCCAATTGCCTGGGCTACCGTCTCCGTCACCGTCCAGCCCTCGAGCGCCGTGTCCTTTATGAAACGCTGTGGCAGCACGAATCCGTACGCTCCACGATCCCTCAGCTCAATAGTGTACACGTATTTGACGCCCAGGGCCGCACGGCTCCAGTCATCGGATCCACCGCCTGCGATTCCCAGGACCTCGTGGGTAACCGCCGCCCTGTACGCAGTGCCCGTTTTCTGGGCAATCCGTTCGGCTGCCAAACTGGCCACTCGTTGCAGGACACTTGCGTCCTTTACTTTGACGGCCTTGTATGCCCACGGATAAACAATCATCTGTCCGTAGCTGTGGAAGGTCAGATAGGACTCCAGATTGTACTTCCTCTTGGACAGGAACTCGGCCACCGCCGCAGTTTCCCGCTCCGACGCTGGCGCGGACCCGCGATAGGTGTCACTGCAGGGATTCGTCGAGGAGCCATAGCCATTCCAGCCGATATCGAAGTTCCGGTTCAGGTCCACGCCGCTGCACTGGGCACGGCGCGATGGCGATCGGTTCTTCCGCCAGAGGCGGTTCGTCTTCCGGCTGTACTCGTAGCCGTCGGGGTTCATCACTGGCATTATGTACCAGGTCAAGCCGCGAATGTGCTCCGGCTGGTTCTCCCAGTTGGACATCAGCTGGTAGAGGATGAAGGTCACCGTCGCGGGGCTGATCCACTCGCGTGCGTGGATGCCGCCGTCGATCCACACCTTCTTGTTCTCGCGGGGGTTTTCCGAGATTCTGAGGAGGAGGAGGAATGGTCCCAAATGTTAGTGGGGGTGCGAGCAGGTGCTTTATTTCAAGCGATGCCGAAAAATAGGCTATATATAGTTTAGATTCCCATCGTGTGCTACCATGTGTGCAGAATTGCTGTAAGTTTTTGGGCTTTCCATTTGTACTTTTCAAAGTTAAAAAGAAATACTAACTTAGCTGCGCTTTTACACTTTATATAATTGCTGTCCTGAAGAGGTTTCCTTTGGTATTTGAAAACTGTGTTTCTCCCACAACAAACAGACTGGTTCACCTACCTGAGCACCTTGAGGTCGCGACCCTCGGCCGTCTGGCCAATAGTGTAGAGGCGCACGATGTTGGGGAACTTGCTGCGGATTTCCCGCATGAAACTGTAGATCGTCTCCAGATCGTGGTAGTCCTTCCAGTGCATGCTGCTCCTAGCTGCCCTCTCTGTGGGTTAGTTAAACAAGATAGCCTTCAGTTTCCCTCAAATAATGTTAAGTACATCGCTCCACTCACTCGTTCTCATTCCGCTGGCCAGGAGGCTGGCTTTCTGGCTTTCGAGCTGCTCCTCGTCGATTATTGATTGGATGTTATGGGACAGAATCTGCGGGTCGAGACGGTGGGCGTTTAGAAAGCTGCGCGCCGCCTTTAGCTGATCCCTGGCAATGGAGATGTCCAAGAACTTGGAGTTCTCCTTCCAGACATTGCCGCCGAACTTGTGCTCTAGCGTTTCAGTCACTGGCACTCCTCGGTGTTTCATCGCCCCCGAGATGTTGTAGATCCTCCACAGTTGCGCCTCGTCGAACCGCTGGGGAATCTCGTTGACATCCAGCTGGGTGAGATTGGAGGGCAACTCGTTGGCTGAGCCGGCTGCTACGGATGCTGCCACGAGGAGCAGCATCAGCAGTTGGGTTCTGTGCATCATCTTGGCGATATCAGCAGGCTATCAGCAGGTTGACCTGGAAGAGTAGTTCTGTAATCTCGACCACAATCAGCAACCATATCGAAAACAGCCCTGCTAATAGAATTGTGATCGATGCCAAACAAAAACTGGCCTTGGAAACCCCCAGTCTTTGGCCAAATATACAAATGAAACTTCGCTAATTAGAAAAAACAATGAGTGTCACGATTCTCGTTATTTATGGTTGGTATTAAGTGGTAATGACCGTTGGCAGCTGATAATTAAATGTAAAGGTTGAAGTGGTACCCGCTTGTTTAGTTTGCAATAAAATCGCACTATTTATGCCCAAAGTACTGGCTAGATCAGAGTCATCTATCTTGGAAATTAATCAAGCTTCAAGTTAGCTGGGTTACTCCCAGTAAATACTCTATGTTATTTACACTTTTTAGATGAGCAATGACTAAGTATAGTATATGTAGTTAAACATAATATAAAATTACGCTAAACTGCACTGCCAATGGAACCAGTCAAAAATCCAACCAAGCTGTTCAGGTTCTGAGAACTAAATGAAAAACAAAACTAATGCCAAACTCCAACTCGATTCAGCGAGAACAATTGTTACAGAAAAAGTTCATCTAATTGCCGGCATAGAAAACAAAAAAAGTGAACACACAAAAATGTTTCCGTTCCATTGTGAATGTTTCGTGCTATCTATATAGACTATATAGACTGTGAGCTACTCGTAACCCTTTTGCGTTTCGTGTGCTTGTCATGGCCAATAAGTAATTAATATTAGTTGATAGCGGTAATGGACTTTAAAATGTTTCATTCAAAAAGAAGACATCGTTTTTTTGATTTGCCTCGTGCTACCTATATAGACATGTGAGCTATGGCAACTCGTAACCCTTTTGCGCTTCGTGTGCTTGTCATGGCCAATAAATAATAATAAGTATTTAATAATAGTAGATAGTGGTAATGGTTTTTCAAATGTTTTACCCATACAGTACAGTCGGTCCTGGCACTGGAAAACAATTATATTCTCTGATATATATTTCCTGATAAGCTTGGTATGCAGTAGGGGAAACAAAAAAATCTTTTTCATTGGTGAATCAAAGCCTGCATTCTAGACATATAACAATTTGTATTTTGTGTGGACAAATCGAGCACTTAATTTGCGTTGTTTTACGTATTCGAGTAGCGTTCGATCGATGGACAGATCGATCGTTCGATCAGTTCAATAAGTGCCTTCTACTATATAGTGTGTAGTTCCGGGCGAGTGGGGTTTATTGTGTCATTTGTTGACTCAATCAGAGTTTCGTGTTTATGCTCTCTCTGTTTGCATGCCAACGGATTATACATATGCGGAATTACCACTCGTCGAGCTACTGGACCCTAAGATCTAGATTATGGGCTAAAAACTTTTCCTGGTCTTTTTAAAGGTTTCGAAACGCCGCTGCCGCTTTTAACGCTGCTGTGCTAATTTCCCTGGCCCGTTTTGGGTTTTGTTTCCATTTCGTTTATTTTTGTGGAAGCGTATTTTTATTTTCGTGTTTATTTTCTTTTTATTACCAGGCAGAAAGTGGCACTTGAACAGTGGAGAGGGTCGTCTCCGTTTCTCCGACTCGCGTAGGCTTCAACTCCGAGAACTGGTTCTCGGTTGGATCAGTCGGCGGGTCGGGCCTCGAATCTCGAATCTCGAATCTCGAGTCTCGAATCTCGGGTGTCGAATGTGGAGTACAAACACAGTTTCGAATCGGGCTTCGCTTTGTTTCGTTTTCAATTCTCTGCTGTTCACCTCGACCTTCGAGACCCTCGCTTTCCTTCCACAAACTTTGTCGTAAATACCCTCATATCATTTCAAAATGTAAACAAAATTGAGGAGTGCATTCAAGATCTGTTTGTTGCTGTGATCGTTTCACTTGATTTGTGACAATAATAAAATAGCGTGTAACGTAATTTTTTTACTTTAATGCAGCGAGACTTAAAACCTTTCGAGTTTCCACTTTTACAACAAAATAACTGAAGATATAATGATTATAAAGGCGCTGTCGTTTGCACTTGCTTGTTCTTTTACTTTAACAGGTGATTTACGATCGTTTGTAAATGTGATCAAGATATCTTTGATATGTTGATTTCTTGGACATAGTTTTTTTTATTGACCTTATTAGCAAAACTGCTCCCCTTACATTGTACCCCGCAGACTTATCCCACTATCACAGCGAATTATTCTTCAATTACTCTGCCTTGTTCTCCTCCTTTCTTCTCTGGAATCTCCACCCTCATTTTGAGGCATTCGTTACCCTCGTATTTGATTTGCCACCCTTTCTGCAATCTTCGCACTTTATTTAGACTCATTTTTAGAGAGACTTCTTTCCTTTCTCTCCTTAATCTTTTATTGAGTTATATTGCAAACAAACAAACCTATTTTACGTTTGCAAAGTTAGTAATTGTTGCTCTTACTTTATTTATCTTTCTTTCCACTTACTGTTTTTGTTGCGGTTGGGGATGCTGCAGCGCTCTTCCAGTCGCCGGCTCTTCAGAAGAGAGTGCAGCTGTGGACGTGTGTGTGGGGGGAGAGTGTCGCTGGCTGAGCTTCAAACTCCGACTAAGTGCTGCGATTGTATGCGCTTCAATTTTATATTGCCGCTCTGCCGGCGCAAGGGAGCCGTTACCAAAAAAAAGTTTAAAAAACAACAGAAAAGGCACAACAAACGAAACCGAGAATTACAAAACCAAAAAAAAAAAACAAAACAAAAAACAAATAAAAAAGGGGAGCCCAAGAGCGTTGGAAATTTTTTGCACTGACCGACGACCGATCTTTCAAGCGATCGTCGCCTAAATGGAAATTGGAAATGGAAATGGCAGCGCCGCCGGCAGCGGGCAGCAGGCAGCGGGCAGCGCAGCAGCAGAGCCAGCAACAGAGAGAGAAGAGGAACAGGGAGAGCGGAGCTCCCCCAAAGCTCCACGCACTCACTCTGTCTCTTTCTGGAGAGCGGGGGAACGAGAGAGCAGAGTGCAAGGCCCACGCCCACGCCCACACCCACACTCACACCGGCAGCCACCTCCCTCCCACCGGCGACATTGACACCAGATGCATCTAAGGTTTACGCCGACGGGGCTGTCCCCTGCCGATAAGTCATCTCAGCAAACGGATCAAACGGTGATCAAAACACCGTGAGTCACGGGTTCGGTCACGGAACCTCAGGAACACTCTCTTTGATTGCCGGAGTTTCCCGCGATGGCAGGCGTGGCTTTCCCAGTTAGAACATTGTGCTTCCAAAGAACCCCACACAAAGTGCGAGAGTTGAGGAGATGGAAGAATCCCAGAGTATTTGTGAATATTTATCCACTCAACAAGCAAAGTAATCCGCATCGATTGCCTTTGCAGCCGTTATCTACACCTCGAACCCGTGAACTTCAGTGCACTATATGATGTTAGGTAGCCGGCTGCCAAGTTGTCCCTCCCCATGCTTCAGCTCATTAGTGTTGTTACCTAAATAACCATCTCATCATCTGGCTGTAAACCATTAATCAAATGTGGCTTAAACGAAAAGTCACTCAAAATCACTCCATGGGCGGCTTGTTCAGTGCTCAGTGTTCAGTGTTTTCGAGTTTGACCCACTTTGGCGGGTTTTACTTTCTTTCGCGCCGATCAGCTGCTTTGTCCCTTGCCGCCCACACCTCAGGAGGCATTATGTATTTATATTTGTTTCTTGTTTTTTCCTGGTGCCTCGCTGTCTTTTCGTTTTCTCGTTACCTAGATTTTCACTTTTAACGCTTTTTTCGAGTGCTGCCACAATGGGTGATTTGTTCAGGCCCTTTTCTGGTTCATTGAACAGTGAATGCTGCAGGTTACACTAAAAAACTAACTACGTGGTTCTTATTTTGAATCAAAGAAGATCGGGTAATATTAAATATACTAATTTGCTGTTTTCCTGTCAACACTGTTTTACTTTTGCTTTCATATCTGATGAGTTCGAATTGGATTGATATTTACATATGTTCTGTGCTGAATTTTTAACGGCTGTCAATGCCTTGGGAATTTAGTGTTTGATACATAAATATATTTTTCTCTTCATAGTTTGGACTCAGATGTATTTTGCTTATCGCTAAAACACTTTCTTCGCTTGCCGGGAAGCTTTGATTTTGATTCGGCGGCAGGTGGCGATGGCCGCGAGCCTTTCGCTTAATTTATATATGCATGTCCAAAGCAAATCCAATCAAATATGCAACAACAAAACCCACACATTTATCAAAACGGGAAAAATAAAAAATAAAAAAAGGGGGCAAGAGCTGAAAAACAAAACTTCGTAAGCGTTGTGGCTTCAGCTTACTTGTTTTTGAAACGCGAAGAAAGTGAAAGTTGCCGCGCGGTTCCGCAGCATTCTCTTTTGCTCTTTGTAGCCTGCTCGCGCTCTCAGCTTTCTATTTGCCCGGCTGAGCATTCTTCTTGGCCATCTCCGTCTTTGGCCAGGTTTATATAAGACTGTTACTGTTACTGACTGGATGATGCCAATCCCGATATGCGCGATTGCGAAATCTTCGATCGAAAGTGGCAGCAAATCAAAGCCACCAACCAAAACCAGAAGAGGAGCGCGAAGAGAGTGGAGCAGAGTGGAGAAGAGAATCTTCCGCACTCTCTGCAGAATGAAATTATACAGCCATGTGCAATACCTTTTCACGGGGGAGCTTTTCGATCCGCCTTAGCCCGAAAGTATGCAGTTCCCTGCTGCTGATGAGGCTCTTCAGATTACCAATTAGACTAATCCAATGGTTTATGTTCTGGACATTTTGAGTTCAAATAGTAGTAGTATAGATTCCCAGCAAAGACTTTCCCTTCTCAAACGAAACAGCTTTGAGTTTGCATCGAAGATATATTTCAATTGATTAAATGACGACTCATTTACCTCATACCAAATAAATAAATAAATAAATAAGTAAATAAATAAATAAGCAAGGGAAATGGAACGTGGATTCACGCCAGCTTCAGCTGCTGGGCGATGGTGCGCAGGAACTCGAACACCTCCTCGCCGGACTCCACGATGTAGTGCGGCGGCAGGAGGTATCCGTAGCGTCCCTGGTCCTTCAGGAACAGGTTGAAGACCATCTGCGGACCGAGGCGGTCGTGCACCCAGTCGGCGGAGTTGCCGGGCCGCGCCAGCTTCTGGCGGTAGCTGGTGCCCGCGGAGTACTCCGCCTGGTTGAGGCGCCTCAAAGCGAGCACCGCTCGCCGCGCCGTCTGCCTGAGCTCCCGCTGGTTCTCCGTCACGAAGTCCGCGTCGCCCCAGGGGTACGTGATGGCCTGCCCGTAGCCGCCGAGCGAGACGTACGCCCCCAGGTAGTCCCGCATCCCGGAGAGGAAGCTCCGGACGGCCCGGCTCTCCGGCTCGGAGAAGCTCTCCGGTCCGCGGTAGAGGTTCTGGCAGGGATTGCCCGTCGACCCGCCGCCGCCCCAGCCGTACGCGAAGTTGCGGTCCAGGTTGACCCCGTAGCAGCCGCTCTCCGCGTCGAAGGCCCGGTTCTTCGTCCAGAGGCGGTCCGTGTGGCGGGCGTACTGGTAGCCGTCGGGGTTCGCCAGCGGCAGGAAGTACCAGTCGATGCGGCGCATGGCCCTCTCCAAGCCCTTGGGCGTGCCCCACAGATGGGCGAGCTTGGAGACGGCGTAGGTGAGGGCGGCCGGACTCAGCCAGTCCCTGGCCTGCATGCCCGCGTCAACGAACACCGCCCAGTTGTCCGGATTGCCGTTGGAGACCCTGCGGAAAGCCGAGGAGCCAGTGAAGTGAATGAAATGAATGATGTGTGCGGTGCCCCCGGATGAGGTAGACCGTCCCAACCCACCTGATGACCTCCAGGGGCCGCTTGTTGCGCGTGACCCCGATCTGAACGATCTCCACGTTCTCGGCGTGCGCCTCGAGCAGCGTCTGCAGGAACTGGCGGATGTCCGCCTGGTCGTGGTAGCGCCGCCAGCTCATCAGGGACCCCGGCCACTCCATCCACGGCAGCGAGTTGTTTCGCACGGAGTCCAGCGGGTGCTCCGCGGCCGGCACCTCCACGTAGGTCTCGTCGATGGCCGTCTCCAGGTCGTCGATCATCACGTTGTAGCTGAAGCCCGCCTGCTCCATGAACCTGCGCGCGTCGGCCACGTTGCGCTGCTCGATGAGCAGGTCGATCCCGTCCTGGTTGATGTTCCACACCTCGCTGCCTGGAGAAGAAGAGGATACAGTTTAGTCCAGAGTGCCTCTTTCAATCTACAATAACTTAGTAGTGGTTGATGCGGAATAGTTGGTGTTGGTGATGCGTGATGGGGAATCTGTGATTATACCGAACTGCCGCCAAAAGGCCCTCAGCTGGGGCCGCTCCAGCCGGGTCTCGTGCACCTTCCACAGCTGGGTTCCGTAGTACCGCTGCACGTGGCTGCCGTTGCGGTAGCGCCTGTTGATCTGGTACGAGGACCCCGCCGAGAGGAAGTCGAGCCGGCGGAGGTCCAGAGGCGACAGCCACTGGAGCCCCTCGAAGGTGGACTCGTAGAGCTCGCTGCTGTTGAGGGTCAGCAGGGCGAGGGGCAGTCCCGATATGCCGGAGATCTCCGGCACGGACACGCTCCGCCAGAGCAGCAGCTTCTGGCCGAGAACCGCTCCGAACAGGGATGCGAACGCGATGGCGAACGCGGAGGCGAACGCAAGTGCTGGCGCTTCCAGAGGCGGCATCTTCGAACTAAGTCGCTCTTCCCGCGGATCAAAGCTTCTTGGCTCAGATGCTGGATTCCGGCTACTTGGCTAGCGGTTCTCTGGTTCTCTGATTTCTGATTTCTGATTTATGCCAACGCCACAAATTTATGCGTGCGAATGCGTGATTCGACTCGATTCGTTTCGACTCGATTCTACTCGACTCAACTCGACTCGACCTGACCTGACCTGACCTGACCCGACCCCTCCCAACCACACACCGCTTCCGCACAGACGGGGTCAGCGCAATAGTGCCTGCCCACAAAGCCCTCAAAGGCACAACCCACTTCAACCTCCAGGAAAAAAGGGGAAGTTGCTATATATAGTACATATGTATATATATAGTATCCCCTCCCCCAGATGGAAAGTCCCCCCTCCTTTTTTAATGGAATACCCTTCGGAAACTAGAGGGAACTTGACTCACCGAACAGAGCGACCACCTCGTTGAACTGCGCATCCGGCGAAGCGCCCGCTTGTCGCTCCTCCTCTGCCTCCTCTGCCACCTCTGCCCCCTCGGCCACCTCGAGTTCCTCCTCCATGGAGGAGCCGCGGGTCGCATTGAAGTTCAGCTTCCACAGCTGCGCTCCTCGGTAGCTCACGTAGTTGGGGTCCAGGTCGCTGCGCAGCTCGGAGAGTGCTCCGCGGCCAGGCGGGGAGCTCGTCGCCAGGGGATGCAGGTACCGCAGCAGGTGGCCCACGCCCCCGCCGAAGAAGGGGAGCCTGCTCAGCGTGCTCAGGCTGTCGGTGCGGGCCAGGTCCAGGGTGCTCCTGCCTGGACTGCCTGGCGCCACTTCCGCAGCGGACAGCAGCAGCAGCACCAGTACCAGCGCCAGCCACGCCCACTGGAGGCGAAGGCAGAGTGGCATTTTGTCGGAAGTGTGTGTTTGGTTCTCCAGATTCGGGTTCGGGTTTGGAGGATCCGGCACTGCGGATTCGCGACTGCTGCGAACTGATTGGGGATTGGGGTTGTTGCGTGTTGTGTTGTGTCGATCGGACAGTCGGTGCGGATTTAATGCGCTTGCAAATCGATTTGCGGCCGCAGCCTCCGGCTAACGGCTTCTCGCGTCCTCAATTCTCTGCTCCCTTTTCTCCGTTCTCTGTTCTCCGTTCTCTAGCCTCTATTCTCCAGTCTCTATTCTCCATTCTCCATTGTCCATATCCCCCCTCCCTCCTCCGGTTCCTATTATTCGCCCGGTTCCGAAATTAAGGCCAACGCATTTGCATATTGAGGGAATGCCGGTTATTTCGGTGCTTCTCGTATTTCGGACTTTTACTTTGTAAGTCTTGCTGCCAAAAGCGGCAGAAGCTGTTGGCCACCGAGTCATTGGGTTTCTGATTGGGATTGGCATTGGGATTGGGATTGGCCTGTGATAAGTGCTCGTGTGTGTATATTCCATGCTTTCAACACTTTGTGCTTTATTCGCCGACCAGAAATGAGAAATCGTCAGAACCTTTGCATGCTTCTTATTTTGGCGGATGACTGGGAATCGTCGGTTATCAACCAACGATCGTCAACAGCTTCCGAGCTACCGAAACCCTAAACGGGTTTTATTACAAAAGAAACAAATGGGTTTTCTCACTGGGTTTTCGCTCTTTAATAACCGCCTTTCAGTCTACTCTACGGTCGATGAGTTGAAGCGGGTCCATTCAATCAATTTGTCTAGTTACAAGTACAATAAATAAATAAATAGCGTTCATATAAATATAAAAAAAAAATGATGGGGCCGATTCACGGGGAATGGCATTGGACTAAGTGGCCGGGGACTAGTGGCGACGCCTTCTGCTGCTGCTGCTGGAGCTACTGCTGGCGGAGGTGCTGCCGTTCCTGGCCACCGACTTGCCGCGTCCCTGGGCAATGGCCCTGGCCACGGTGTCGGCGAAGGTGACGCCGTCCTTGCCGTTGTACTGGATGAAGCGGGCCGGCAGGACGAAGCCGTACCTGCCCGTGTCGCCCATCTCGATGGTGTAGGCGTACTTGATGCCCGCGATGCCCTTGGCCCAGTCGTCGGAGCCTCCGGCTGCGGGGTAGAGGGTTGTGGCGGAGGAGCCCACCGTGTACTTCACGCCCGTCGACTTCGTGATGCTCTGTGGGATGAGGAAGGAGGATGGTTATCATTCGATGCCCAGTATACCCAGTGGATAGTAGTAGTAGTAGTAGTAGTAGTCGAGGACTCACCGTTCCCGCCTGGCGCGCCACGCGGTCGAGGTCGGCGCGGTCCTGGGTCAGCTGGTAGTCGTAGCCCCACGGGTAGAGGATGTACTGGCCGTAGCTGTGGAACGAGAGGTACGCCTGGAAGGTGTCCCGCGGGAAGCCGCTGATGAACTTGCTGATGTAGAAGGTCTCCGGCTCGGAGAAGGCCTTGCTGCCGCGGTACGTCTGCGCGCAGGGACTGGCCGAGGTGCCCTTGCCGCCCCACTTGTAGCCGAAGTTGCGGTTCAGGTCCACCCCGGGGCACTGGCGTCCGTGGGCGCGCATGTTCTTCCTCCAGAGGCGGTCGGTGGTGTGCGAGTACTCGTAGCCGTCGGGGTTGGCCACCGGGTGCAGGTACCAGTTGATGGCGCGCATGTGCTCCGGCAGCTCCTCCCAGCCCTCGACCAGCTGATTGGCGATGTAGGTGACCGTGGCCGGGCTGATCCACTCACGGGCGTGCATCCCGCCGTCGATCCACACGCCGGGGTTGCGGGCATTCCCGTCGGAGATCCTGGGGAGATTGATGGATAGCGATGCACTCGTTAGTGTTGGGTTTGTGTCAGTGCAACTGCAACTCACTTGAGGATTTTCAGGGGCCGCTTCTCCACCGAGTAGCCGATCACCTCCGTGGAGCAGATGTCCGGGTACGTCTTGGCCATGTAGTCGATGAAGCCGTGGATGTCCTCCAGCCGGTGGTAGGCCTGCCAGGTGAGTCGGTGACCTGCGAGGGAAGGGGAAAGAGAGAAGTGCAAGGGCAAGTGAGTGCTGGTGGGATGGTGGAATGAACCGGGGTTGTTCAACCCGCCACTCCTCCACCCATCTATCCTCCATCCATCCATCCATCCATCCATCCATCCATTCACCCTGCCAACGCAACGGAAAGAGGGAAGCCAGTCGCTTGGAGTGGAGGAGTCTTGCAGTTATCGACCAAACAGGAGCGTCTTGCAAGGACCTCGCCCTTCTCCTGCTCCTTCTCCGACTGCGTTGTTTTCAGGGACGATGCAAGGATGGAAGGATGGGGAGGACGACGCGCACGTGGCGCTCGGCACGCGGCACTCGCCATGAGGCATGAGGCATGTGGTACGTTCCTATGGCAAAGCCACTTTCCGCTTGATGACTTTTCGCACTCCCCGCGGAGTGCATTAAACGCTCGTTTGCGGCGACACCTCGCCGACGGGGAGAAGGGGCGCCACCCGGTTGCACCACCCCTGTGACACGCCAAGGAAATGCTCCTCCGCGGATAAGTGAACACAAGGTACTGGGAACAGGGAACAGGGATCTGGGAACAGGTCGGAGGAACTTACCCTTGCGGTTCTGTAACTCGGCGATCTTCTCCGCGGGGGATTCTCCTTCTCAATCACGTGCTGCAGGTTGTCGATGAGCACGATCCGCGAGAGGTTGGCGGCGCGGATGTGGCGCTCGGCGGCGGCCAGCACCTGGGGCTTCAGCAGGTAGTCCACCTCCTGCTTGACCTCCTTCCACAGCTGGCCGTCTGGAAACAGAAGAGAGTGCGAGTGTGAGTTGGCAGCCAGTGCGTCCGCGATCTCGAGGGTACCCACCGTACTTGGACTGCAGCTCGTCGGCCATCCGCTTGTCCTTGTCCGTCTGCACCACGATGCGCCACACCTGGGCGCCGTCGTAGCGCCGCAGGTGGGCGCTGGCCGGGGCCTCCGCCTCCGCCTCCGCCTTGGGGAGGTCCGCCTCCGACGGCTGCTGCTGCAGGAAGGAGGCGTTCACGTAGTTCAGCACGCTGTCCTGCACCTGGATGGGCTGCACCTGGACGGGCTGCACCTGGACGGGCTGCACTGACTCCTGGGAAGGCGGCATCGCCACGGGCACGATGGTGGTCAGCAGGGAAGGCTCTTCCGGCGCCGCTGGCTTCTCCGGCTCGGCTACGGTTTGGGCTGGGTCCGACTGGATCTCGTCGTGTTCCTTGGCTGGCTCTTCTGCAGGGATCTGAGCGGGAACTTCGGCGGGACCTTCAGCGGGATCTTCAGCGGGAACTTCAGCGGGGATCTCTGCGGGGATCTCTGCGGGGATTATGGCAGAAGCTTCTGTTGGACCATCAGTGGGAATCGCAGCAATATCTTCGGTCGTGGTTTCCTCAGGTGCCGCATCAGCGATCGCGGGCTGAACCTCGGCCTCCACCGGCTTGGCCTCCTCCTCCTCCGCCTGCGGTTGCTCCTCGGTCTTGGCGTCCTCCGGGGATTCGGGAGCAGGAACGGATTCGGGAACGGGAGCGGACTCCGCTGGCTGGGCGATCTCCTCCTGCGGCTCGTCGGCCAGGATGAGCTGCTCGGGCTGCGCCAGCTCCTCCTGCTCTTGCTGCTCGACTGGCGGGGTGGCTAGCTCCTCGGCTGCTTCTGTGACCGGGGATGGCTCCTCCTCGTTCTCCTCCTTGTCGGCCAGTTGCTCCGGCACCAGAGTGTCCATGGCGGCGGTGAGTCCGTCCTCGACTCCTTCGGCCAGGGTTTCCATCAGAGAGGCCTCGGTGGCGGATTCACTCGGCACTTGGGACTCCTCCTCGCCATCAGCTTGCAGCTCAACTGGGGCTTCTGGCTGGGATTCCTCTTGCGGCTGGGCTTCTGGCCGGGGTTCACCTTGCGGCTCTTCCTCTGGCTGGCTTGGCTCTTCTGCAGGGACGCTGGCCTCCGGCTGGGCCTCCACTTCTGGCAGGGATTCAGCTGCAATCTCCTCTTCCCCTTCTGGTTCCACTGCTGGTTCCACTTCTGGTTGCTTCTGCTCTTCAATCTCCTTGTCGGCTTCGATCTCCGGCTTCTTCTCCGCCGGATCGGACTCGCTTTCTGGCTGGCTGGAGCCCTCTGGCTGCACTTGCTCCGGCTGCGGCTCCGACTCCTCGGGCACCTGGTCGTCTGCGGCTGGTTCCGACTCCGTCTCCAACTTGGTCTCCAACTCGGACTCCTTCTCCGACTCCTCCTGCGCGCTCTCGGTGGCGGCGTCCTCGTGGAGCGGGTCGTCGTGGAGCGGGAGCGGGGCCGCCTCGGTGGCCAGGTCCACGGCCTGCTCCAACTGGGCCTCCTGGCTGGCGGGCTTCAGCAGGACGACGTGCTCCTCTATGGACTCGGGCTGCTGCTGCTCCTCCGCCTCGTGCTCCGCCTCCGGGTGGGACTCCGCCTCCACGGAGACCAGGCTGGGCAGCTCCACGAGCTGCATGGCGGGGCCGGAGTCGCTCTCCAGCATCAGCATGTCGGAGTTGGAGTTGGCGTCTGAGTTGGACGTGGAGGAGGAGTCGATGGAGTTGCGATCCACGTGCTCGTCGTCCTCCAGCTGGGTGGCCACCGCCTCCGGAACCAGCATGTACATGTCCGAGGAGTCGGCGGAGGGCACGGAGGTGAGTTTCATGTCGTCCACCAGGACATCCTGCTGTGGCTGCTGTTGCTGCTGCTCCGCTGGCAGCTCGTTCCGCTCGAGGGCGAGGCGGTCGAGCGACATGGGTGCCACCGCAGGGAGCACCAGAAGGAGCAGGAGCAGTGGCAGGGATGCGGGGGCGAGTCTTCTCGTCTTGGGAGAGGGGGATGGGGAAGTCCCCTCGTGGGCTGGGCTGCCACGCGATCTCGCGTTGAACATCTTGGCGGGATCTGACTGCGAACCGTAATGAGACATGTCCCATTGGTGGAGTGGCGCTTTTATACCAGCGCTGGGAAAGTATTGCCGTATCGCCGTTTCGTTTTCGATATTTCTCTCCGCGCTGCCGCTGCCGCAGCCGCAGCCAGCGTCGCAGTCGGCGCCGCTGCCCGCTTACACTGGCCATCGCGATTGGAACTTGTTATGTGTGTTAATGCTAATGTGAGCTGTGAGCTTTGAGCTGGTCGCGCTGCGGCTCTCTTCCTTGTGAGAGGCCTCAACGGAGATCTGATCCCCCATCCCCCATCCCCCGTCCCCGAACTCCGATCCCAAATGGCAAGGCCCCATCCCCATCTCCGTCCTAATCCCCGATTTCCATATCGACGGCCGCCCGCTCTCGCTTTCTTTCGGGACCACTGCCACTGGCATCCAAAGTGATTATATCAGATGGAAGCTCAGATAACCTATGCACAGTGGGGAACACCTCGGAATGGTTCTACCAAAAGCAAGTCAGTCGTCAGAGGAAATGATGAATGGTGAGCCCATCACAGTGCCTGATCCTATAAACAAAACACATCTTCGCATCTGTCACAATTATCGCCTGGTCGGTCCACTTTCTACATGTGTGCACAGCGAGCCGTCGTTCTGGAGCCCCGTTTCCATCCACGACTCAATCCGGTCTCAATCCGAACCGCTGAACCGCTGAATCATCGGGAGCTGAATCAATAGTCAACAATCAGCAATCGATGTCAATTGGCAATTGCGAGCCACCGGCGATGGCCATTGTCGTTCCAGTGGATGTGCCACTTGCCAATGGACATGGACAGATGTTCGCTTGGCCGTTGCAGCAGGACGCTCCCTTGATCGCTTGATCCGTGGCTCTTGGGGGGCACTCGAACCCACTCGCAGATCGAACCGAATCGGAGCGGTCTCCCCCAATCTATTTTGGCTTTCCAATTCACCCAGCACCCATCACCCATCACCCATTACCCATTGTTGACATGCTTTCCGAATCCGAATAAGTTGCTCTGGCCCTCTTTTTATTTGGTTTTATTTGGGTTTCGTATGTTATTACCCACGCCGTGCTCTCTAATCAACCGCACCTCGTCAGCGGCAAACAATTGCCAGTTGTTGTTGTTGTTGTTGTTGCTGTTGCTGTTGTTACGCTCCTTTCACTTTATAAGTGGAGTTTATCAAACGCCATTGAGGAAGAGCGAGAGTTCAAGTAATTGCAAAGCGGGCAGCGCAGCTCCCATCGCAATCGGAATCGGAATCGCCGTTTCTTGCCAGGTCAAGTAGTGAAATTGTCCTTAATAGTTGGCAGCTATAAAGTTTCTCAATCGATCGACCGATATTCAACGGCTGACTACTGGCCTCCCCCCCCATCACCTGCATCATCAGCCAATGAAGCTAATCAGTTGCAATTGAAGTGAAGTCCATTAGGCCTGTTCTTGTTGCTTATTGATCGGCAACTTAGCTTACGAGCTGCACAGTTTAGCAAGAGAATGTGCCACATTAGGCATAAGTCAGCGGATCAGAAGCCTCTAATGTGATCTGATTTCTAGTGTGTGCCATCAACTGGCACATCCCCGAAACTCAGGTGGAGTGGTTTGGCCAGATTCTGCCAGCAACCACATTATGTCGGCCGCCAAGTCGTCGGAGTTGCTGAAAGCGAGAGTGGGCAGGCAGGCAGGCGGGCAGACGAGCGAGCAAAGGCCAAAAAAGCCACTTAAAAACCGATGCACACACACACACACACACACACATGTACATACATACACACGGAGGAGGGCGGAGTGGGAGGTTCGGAAGCGAGCGGAGGCAGCGCCACAAACTTTCTTTCTTCTCCATCACTCCGCCGCCTTTTTTCGGGTGTCGAGTGCATTGTTGTTGTTGCTGCTGCTGCTGCTGCTTCTGCACGCCCACATCATCCTAATTATCTTGGGATCACCCGTCGTTCCCCTCGTCGTTCCGGCAGTCGATGGCGTTTGACGAGGGTTGCGGCTGCGCACAGTGGGACGCACAGGCGAATGTGTCAACCTTTGCTGAGGTTCCTTTCAGGCTGATCAATTACTGCTCAGGCTGATCAAGAACCTGCTTCGAGGTCTTAGGAGGAGCCCACTTAGGAGTCCAAAAGATGGGAGTTCAATAGATACTGAGAGTTTAATGGATACCACTGTGCCACTGGCCACACTGGCCACACTGGCACACTGTGTGCCGTGTACTTTTCGCTGGCCCGCTCTGCTCGTTTATCCCGCCAGAAGATGACAAGTGGAGTGGAGCGTAGGAGAGCATTATTATTCTCACGGCGCGCACCTTCTCGGCCTTTGTGGCCCATTACCGTTAAGCTGCCACACCTCAGGACAACCCCGCTGCACTTTCACACGACTCCGTGTCCCACAAACACACCCACACCCACACCCACAGCCACAGCCACAGCCACAGCCACAGCCACAGCCACACCCACCGAACCTATTAATCTTCCGCGGAGTGTGGAAGAAGCTGCTAGTTTGGCCCTGTGAATTGGGCGGGAGAAGCCTTCCTTCCTTGGAGGCGAACGTCTTGAAATGCCTCTCAAACTTTTTGCTGAGAGAGCTGAGAGCTAAATTTTGCGATGAATTCATATAATTCATATAAAAAAATGATGAATAGTTAGATGGCAAAAAAAAGCGATAAAATTGCAAATGGAATCCAGTTTTATATCCTTGCAGAGCAAAGGGTATTATAATTTCAGTCAGTAGTTTGCAACGCAGTGAAGGAGACACCCTAGACCCCATAAAGTGTATATATTCTTGATCAGCATTACGATCTGAATCCAAATTCGTCTGTCCGTTTGTCCGTCTGTCCGTTTCTAAGCAAACTAGTCTCTCAGTTTTAAAGCTATCTTGCTGAAACTTTCCCAAAAGTTGTATTGTTGTTGCACGCAGTATATAAGTCGGAACGGGCTGGATCGGGCGACTATATAGGTAGCTCCCATACAAGAGATTGAAATACAAAAGTCTAACGCCGTTGTTTTTGATCAGATCGACTTGATTTCTTCCACATGGCGTTTTTTAACTGCTATTGAATTTCGGATTAAATTTTATCGAAATCAGTTATCCGATATCATATAGCTGCCAAAGGAAAGATCGAAAAATCTATATAGAATTAACGGAAATAAAATGATAACATCGTTGTTTTTTATCAGAAAATCATGATTTTTGAAATATAGAGGTTTCTAACGACTCGAATTACGAATTGCATTTCATGAAAATCGGACGACTATATCATATAGCTACCATATAAACAATAGTTGAAAATATGAAAAATGAATAGAAAAAACGTTATCGCTTCGATGCTGTTTAGCCTTTATGTATTTTGTTCGACTGTAAGGTTCTTCCTTTCTTGTTCTTTTTGCTTCTATTAATTTTAATTTATTACAAAACGAATTACAAAGTGGTTGCTGAAAGTGAGTAAACACTGCCTTCCTCCGCAGATGGAGGAGATAACCGAGGCGGAGGTGGACACCCCGGCTCTCCCGGCGACAGAAGGCCTCGGCCGTCCGCTGCGCAGTTCCTCGTGCAGGCCGCCAAGGGGCCACGCCCCCCCGTCCAGCCAGCCCATCTCGACCATGCTGCCAATCCGACCGATGGCCAGCTACAGCGAGAAGGCAGTCGGCAGCTCGCCCAAGCACATGGTCAGCACCCTGAGCTCGCCCATCGAGCAGATCGCGTGCAGCGTGTCCCGGGAGCACGCGCTCAAGCTCGAGATCGAGCAGCTGCAGGAGCGGCTGAAGGACACCGAGGAGCGGCTGGCCTCCGTCCGGCTGCAGAGCGAGTCGCTCTCGCAGACGCAGCGCGCCCTGCGGGAGCACAACGGGCGGCTGCAGGAGGAGTCCGAGATGCTGAAGCTGGACGTGCAGCACCTCAACGAGTGCGCCAACGTGCTGCGGGCGGAGCTGCAGGCGGCGCGGAGGGACCGCGGCGAGGCGCTCCAGCTGCAGCGCTCCCTGCGCGAGGAGCTGGAGGAGGCGCACCAGGAGCGGCGGCGGACCGGCGAGGGCAAGGAGAAGGACTGCCGCGTCATCCAGGACCTGCAGCGCCAGTGCCGCGAGATGGAGCGCATCCTGATGCGCAAGCACCCGGACTCGGTCTCCGCCTTGATAGGTGAGTCCTCCCTCAGTCCTTTTCAATTCATCGCAATCTGTAATCCGTAAACTGTAATCTGTAATCGGTAATCGATAATCTGTTATCTTTAATCTGTAATCTGTTATCTGTAATCTGTAATCTGTAATCTGTAATCTGTTATCTGTAATCTGTAACCCGTTATCTGTTATTTGTAATCTGTAATGCGGAATCTTTACAACAATATTCACCAGTGGCTTCCAAGAGTCCGGGCATGTGTCCGCTGAACGACCAGGAGAACGTGAACAGCCGCAAGCTGCTGGAGCAGCGGATCGCCCAGCTGGAGTCGGACGCCAAGGAGCAGGACCGCAAGGCGCAGCAGATCCTGGCCAACGTGCAGGCGCGCTTCAACTCGGTGCAGGCGAAGTACGAGACGCACATCGCGGATCTGGAGACGCAGGTCCTGAGGTGGGTTCCGCAGCGTAGTCTCCACAGTTCCCAGTTGCCAGTTCCCGGTCTAATGCTCGTCCCTCCCCCGCAGCCTCCAGGAGATCAACACCAAGCTGAACGAGCAGATCGAGTCGCAGGTGCGCACCTTGGACCGCTACATGCAGAAGCGGGCGGACAGGTTCTACAACAACTGCACCCAAACGGATCCCCTGGAGGCCCTGGAGTGCGGTGGAGTCTGCCCTGGAGCCACCGCTGTCAGCTCCACCACGATGGGCACCCAGACGCCGACGCCGACGGCGAACGGGACGCGGGACCACAGCACCAACACCATTGGCTGCCCCTCGCCGGCGCTCGTGTGCCAGCAGCCGCACCTGCACCACCACCACCAGCACCAGCACCACCCCCAGCACCCACTCCACCCACACGCCCCCTCCGCCAGCAGCAGCACCAGCAGCACGGCGAACTCCACGCCGAACACCTCGCGGCCGAACTCGAAGCAGAGCGGAGGCGGCGGGCAGCGGCGGTCGCCGCTGGTGGGTGGCGGCCAGTCCAAGCTGCCCATCTCGCAGTCGGACTCCACGCTCTCGCTGCTCAGCCACGGCGGCTCCAAGGAGGAGGGCCAGCTGCTCAGCTCCGTGCGCAGCATGCGCGTCGACCTGGCCATCAAGAACAAGGCGATGCAGCGGCTCACGCGAGAGCTGGACGAGTGCAAGAAGACCATTCGCAAGCTGCAGCGGGAGCGGGATGCCAGTGGCGGTGGCGGTAGCGGTGGCCCTGCCAGCCAAGCGGGTAAGCATCCAATTCAATCCCATCCAATACAGTCCAATCCAATCCAATCCCAGCGCCATGGCTCCTCTCTAATTTCGGTCTCAGTTTCAGTTTCAATTTCAATTTCGGTTTTGGTTTTGGTTTCAGTTTCGGTTTCGTTTGTGTATGTGTCACTCGGTCGCCGATGAACGGTCGCAATGGCTGGTAATTTATGGACTTTCTCTGCCCGGTCAGCACGTACACTGGCTCGTTCCCCGCCCCCCGCCCCCTGCCCACTGCCACCTTCCCTCGGGCCACTCCTCTCAGACGCTTCCCCACATCCAAAGCCCCCGCCTTTCCCGCTTCCCCGCTTCTGGAGACGGCGAGTAAATTGCTGGAATAAATCATTGGACGACTGTCGACGCCGTCGGCCTCTTGACCACTTTTTGCACTCGATTCAAACGGCAATTGCATCGCAACTAACCGGCTAAGCGGCCAAATGGCCAAATGGCCAAATGGCCATCGCCATCGGGCATCGGACTGCGGGCAATGGTCAGACGAAACACGTTTGAGCCAGGCCCAAACCCAAACCCAAACCTCTTAACCCTCTGAGGACCATGGCTCAAAAAGGGACTCTGTGAATCCTCGATGCTGAGTCCTTCCCATGCGTGAAAATGCACTTTCGATCCCAGCTGATCAGGCTTTCAGTTCTTAGTTGAGTGCAACGAGATGAGAAAACTTTTCAGTGTAAGGCAATTCAATCATCAATCTAAATTTGAATCTCAATCTAAATCTGAATTTGAATCTGTTTCTGTTTCGTGGATACGCAAAGTAAGGCGGGGAGACGGGGGTGGACCCCATCTCGGGCACTTGGTTATGTCACCTGTGCGTTTGGCCCGCCGCTTGTTTATTTACCTCTGTCCACTGTCCACTGTCCACTGTCCACTGTCCACCGATCACAGTTTCTTGCTTCTTGCTGCTGCCGTCGAAAAAGAAAATTCGAAAGCGAAAGTCAAAGTCAGAGACGCCGGTTTGTTTTGGCCGCGGGTCGGTGGACGCTGCTGGGGATCGACGTGGATTGGATCAGGTCTTCTGCCTCTCCCCCTTCCTCCCTGCTTCCCTGCTTCCCTCCTCTCTTTGGCCAATAAGTAGACATTTTATAACGCGGCGACTTGTTAGCCCAGCCGCCTCTGGCTCTGCCTCTGCCTCCGCCGCTGGCCAAAACCGCACCGAGCTGTTCGTTCACAACTTCTTTTTCTGCGTCTGCGACTTTGTGCCGTGTGCTTTGTGGCTAATTAACGATCCGTCGCTCCGTCAAATTAGCTTTGTTAATAATTGTGGATGCGAAGAATGACGATAAACAGCGTCTCCGGCGAAATGTTTTCGTTTCGTACGCGCGTGTAAGAAATGTAAATCACTTTTTGTGCCGTTTGATTGCGCAATGCGCTTTCTGCAATAAACCAGGAGGAGGAGCTCAATGAACCCGCTCAGCTTATATCACCAACGCGGATCGGATCGCGATCGGATTGTTTCCCCGTGAACATAAAGCACCCAACGAAATGCAGAACCCTGTTTGAAATGATTTGCAACTGCTGATCCGTTCTAGTGTTTAATTTTCATCCGTTGTTCACTTGCTTTGCAGGCGGCAAGCTGGAGATGCGGTCGCAGGCCAGTGGCGGATCGCTCCAGCGGCGCTCCAGCGGCTACGACCACCATCAGAACCACCACAGCGACCACGTGCCGGCGGCCACCGAGAGCCAGGCTCTGAAGGAGGCCCACAACAAGTACCGCCTGCTGGAGGCCGACTACAAGACGCTCCACGACAAGCGGCTGCAGGACGTAAGTAGAGGGAGTGGCCCTCCCCTCCACATGTCCACATGTCTGATATCCTGCTAACCTCTGCCTCCCAGCTGAAGACCCTGCAGAGCGCCCACGAGAGGGAACTGGCCTCCTGCAACGAGACCGTGCGCATCCTGCAGCAGCGCCTCAACGAGCGGGAGGAGGCCCTGACCACCCAGAAGCGGCGCAAGGTGCCCGTCGACTACTACGCGCTGAAAGCCAAGGTACCGCATCGAGTCGCTCCCTAAGCAGTCAGTCGATCAGTCAATCAGTCAATCAGTCAAGCACTCAATATGTTTCAAGATCAAGTTCAAGTTTATGTTTAAGTAACCAAGTGAGGGGTCAACTCAGCCAGCCAGGCAGTCCAACTGAACCGCCGAACTAATCCGCTCTCGAAACGCTTCTTGCAGGTGTCGCTTCTGGAGCGGAGGCACTCGGAGCGGGAGGAGCGCCTCCACATGCTCGTGGAGGCCCTGAGCAAGGGACGGCTCAACGGGGCCCTGGAGGACCTCATGCAGGAGAACAACAACAAGTAGGGGAGCTCGGAGTGCTCGGAATGGGAGACACACAGATAGGTTAAGCCACATTGCCTGATCAATGCCAGCCAATTCGACCGGAGTCCGTCTAAGCAGGAACACATCCAACCCGATGGTAAACGATTTTAGTTAGAATGTGAATGGGAATGGGAAGGGGATTCTGGGTCATGCCACCCGCCAGGTTGGGAGTGGATTCTGCTCCAAGCACAGCACTCTCCGATCCTCTCAAGCAAAAGTACGTTTAATGTGTTCAAAGTGGAAACAATAAGTAAACAGTTCGCCAACAACTTGCACATACCATACATTGTATGTAGGCTTAGGGTCCTTCCGCCAAAACGAAAGCTCTCTAATCTGGCGTCCATGGGTCTGATGATCCATTCCTGGGCTCTGGTGATCCATTCCTGGGCTCTCTGCTCGCCAAAGACATTTAGATTCGAGTTATTATATGTAGTTCTAGTGAGTGAGTGGGGTATTTTGGATTTGATCGAGCAGTCGAGTGACACGAGACAGAGCGAGACGGAGAGATGGCGAAAGGGAGGGAGACAGGAGATTCGAGGAAGAGGGAGACAGGAGATTCGAGGAAGAGGGAGAGGGAGACAAGTAGCTTGGGGAACGCAAGTTGTACTAGAGTTAAGTATTATGTGTACATGTACAGGGTACGAGTATATGCATGTGGAACTCGAACGATCTCATCTTGGATATAATGTATTTAGTTTGACACCCAACCCAATTGGGGTCCGTTTAAGCTAGGGAACTTTGGAAAAGTTCAAGAGTTCAAGAGAGAAGAAGCAAAGTGTCTCCGCGACCGACATCGCACAAGTAGCGGGTGCAGTGGCAGGCTTCAATAGGAGTCTCTGGATGGGATCCAAATTGGTTCCCAATTTGGTTTAGTGACTAGTGTAGTGAACCCAACCATAGTTGATGGTTGACAACGATGGACTTGCTTGTGCAAGATCCAGCCAAACCAAAGCAAGTAGATTGTATTGTACAACTAGATTGGAGGAGACGCCAGCAGGCGGATGAAGCTCGGATGAAACCAAATAAAAATTCACAGTATTCCAACTCACATGGACGACACTTACATTCAGTTCATCAAAAAGGGAACCCTTCTGCTCTCCCCTTTGTCCTCGCGATGGAGTCGCTTCCCCGCCACCCGTTCGCCGCCAGTGGCTTCTTGGGCTCCAGGGGCTCCAGCTTCTCGGAGCGCCACCAGCGCCGCCTCCTGCTGAGTCGCTACCGACTCCACCTCCAGCGGCTGAGGAGGGCCACCAGCCTGGTGGACCGCCGCCCGCCGCTGCTCAGCACCAGGACCTTGGGCGGCCTCGACGCCCTGCCGCATGACGCCCGCGCCTTCCTGGAGCGGACCAACGAGAACGTCCGCCTCCTGCTGAGCCTCTCCAGGATCAAGCGCTCCGGCGGCACCCTCGGCTCGCTGGAGGAGCCGCCGCTCCGGTCCCGCCACCGCCCCCGCTTCCGCTCCGCCCTGCCCCGCATGCTGAACGGGCTGGACTCGCTGCAGCAGCAGAACCTCCTGCTGGGCCACCGCCTGGCGAGGATCCGCGCCCGGAGCCGCCTCCCCGCCCAGTGGGAGTGGCCCGGGCGGCAGTCGCAGACGAGTGGCGGCCGGTGCCCCAGCCTGGTGGCGACGAGCACCCGGTCCGCGCTGGCCGAGAGCGGGGCGTTCCAGAAGTACGAGGGCTGCGACCTCCAGCTGCCCGCCGACTACTCCGAGCTGGTGCGCCTGCTGCGGCCGCGGGTCGTCCTGCACTTCGGCCTGGTGGACGGGCGGCCGCTGGGCCAGGTGGTGGTGCAGCTGTACACGGAGGCGGCGCCGCTCGTGGTGCTGCAGTTCGTCCGCACCTGCTTGGGCCACCGGGCGCACGAGTTCGCCGTGCGCCGGATCTTCCCCTGCCTCTGGCTGGAGGGCTACCTGCTGCCTGCCGAGGAGCCGGCGGAGGGCGGCGCCTGCTGCCTCGGCGAGCCCATGGAGTTCGACGGCCGCGTCCTGGGCCACGAGCGCTTCGGGTGCGTCCTCTCGTGCGCCAAGGAGTACTGCGTGCACGGCTTCCCCGGCGGAGCCATCAACTTCAGCATCAGCTTCAAGCCGCTCCAGGCGGCCAACGGGCAGCGGGTGGCCTTCGGGCGGGTCGTCCGCGGCGACAAGGTGATCGAGTGCATGGAGGCGCACGGGACCAAGAACGGCAAGATCAGCCGCCCGCTGCTCGTCACCCACTGCGACGTGGTCTACTAGTCCGTTGGCCTGTGCAGGCGGGCTCTGTGGAGCACTTCTGGTGCTGCCACGCGGAGGACCCGAGTCCTTATTCCGCGGGGTGGGACCACAAGTGCCACAAGTGCTGCTGTCGCCTTCGAATGGATTCTCCAAATCGCAGTCCCGGAACAGCGGGTGCAGTGAATGGACTTTGGCCAGCTGGACCCGATTTGCGAGGGCTGGTAAGTGAAGTATGTATGTTTTTGGCCAAGGCTTCCCAATCCCAACTCGGATTCCCCACCCAGTAAGGAACCACTTTCTGCTCAGTGCTTGGTTAGAGTGCAAGTACAATATATTTGGAATTGGCTACGACTGCCAGCGGATGGATGGACGCCCCGATGGGTACGATGGGTGCCATCCCCGTGGACGAATCATGTATAATTATCAAGTATCATATGTGCTTCTTGTATCGTGTAACCAGTGATGTACACACACACTCGTCGATTACACTCACGTCGTTTTCATGCGGGACTGGATTAGCGCGTAAGTTGCATACATATAGTACATATAGTAAGTAGGTATATAGTTGGTAGTTCATTACTCATAGACGAGTAAGGAGAGTAGGCTCCATGACAACTCGATCCCAAACAACAGCAACATTTAGTTAAGCGGTGATTGCATTAGATTAAGGTCTGCGGATACCATATCTTACTGGCTAGTCGGGTACAATGCGGATATTATAATATTATAATAATAATAATATTATAATAATATTATATATTATAATAATATTATATATTATAATAATATTATATATTATAATAATATGATATATTATAATACTATTATATATTATAATAATATATTGTACATACGAGTACTGATAGTATCGATTTGCGACACGGGTGGATTATCTTGTATACTGAGTTGATACTTGTGTAGTAAGTGATATTCTTAGTTGGCCACTCCGGGTGATGATTTCTTGGGACTTCGGACGCCTGGTTGGACTTCCTGGGTTTCCTGGGCCCGCCGGTCCCGAGGCCAACCGGGTTTCGGGGTTTCGGGGATTCGGCCTCCGCTCCTCCGGATCTCTGGGCAACTGCCAGCTCCGCGAGCTGCTCGCAGCCGCTTTTATAGCCGCAGAGTGGATCCCAGCAACCAGGGAACCAGTTGCCAAGTCGGTGCGCAATTTTCCGCCCTGATGGCCGTCCAGGGCGCCGCAGGAGTATCCCCTTGATTGGGTTAGCTCCTTGCTCGCTGCACTCTAATTCGATTTTGATTGAGCTGCCTTATCGCAGCTGTGCACTCGTCCCCCAGAACCAGGAGTTGGGGAGTTGGGAAGATGGGAAGATGGGGAGTTGGTCCTCCCCATCCGAATGCCGACGTCACGAGTGCTGCCCTCCATCCCATTTGCGCCCTCTGCAAAGCATAGAAACGTTGTACCCAATGTGAATGTGACGTCACGCACTTGGCAATTTCATTCATGATTGGAAGATTGGAGCAGGCGGCGCGCATTAGGCTCACTCGAACGGATAGAAAGGATTGGCGTCTGCGCCACTTCTTGGTGGCTTCTTGCCCGCGGAACGACGTGGTGGTGCAGTGGTGCACATGTGCGATAAGCGGAATCCAATCAATCAGTGCCCCAAATTGCTGGCCGGAAGTGTCGGCGTGGGCGTGCTCATGGGCCAGTGGGATCCAGGCTCCAGAGCTCCGCTATAAAAGTGGCGACAAGCCTCAAGCCGAATCATTCCAGTTGCGCAGCCTGCTGGTGGAACAGCAGCGGATCCAGATCTTTCTTGTGCACCCCACGACCAGCAGAGATGAAGCTCCGGCTCAGCGTCCTCCTCCTCCTGCTCCAGCTTGGCTGTCTGACCTTGGCGTTGGCCAGTAGCAGGCTCACCTGCGGCAGTGCCACCTGCGACGGCCGCCGCTTGGATGTCCATCGTCGCCTGGACGACTACGACGAGCACCTGGTCTACAGACAGGACGCGGACCGGACTGAGAGTAGAGCCATTGAGGAGTCTGTTGCCCGGGAGGATCGCGAAACAGAGACTCGCGAGGATTCGCGGGTCCGTTTGAGCTCAGAGAGGCGAGAGGATCCACGTGAAGCTCGGGAAGAGCGATCAGAGCCACGAGAAGCCCGCCACGAGCGAGAGGATCGACGAGAGGACCCACGCCAATCTCTTGAGCGAGAAGAGCGACGAGAGGTTCGTGCTCGCAGCACTCCCCGTCAGGAGAGAGTGGAGCGAAGCGAAGAACGAGAGCGGAGAGTGCGGGAGACAACTAACGAGAATCGCGACGAACGCCGAGAAGAACGTGTAATCTCCAGCCGCCAGGATCGAGGCCGCCGTGTCGACTCGCTGGAGAATCGTCGAGAGGACAGAGTAGGCGTGGCAGAGGAGCGAGCAGAGCGTGATTTTAGGTCTGAGCAGAGAATGGAGCGAGACGACCGTCGCGCAGAGCGAGTGCAAGAGCGGAGAGTTGAGCAACCAGAAGAGGGACGAGTGGAAAGGGACTCCTTGACCGCACGTAGCGATCTGCGCAGGGAGGAGCTGAAATTGTCCCGCCGCGAGGAAAGCCGCAGGGAGGAAGATCTCGACAGGCACAACATGCGACGACAGGAGGAAAGGGAACTTCAGCGCGAGGAACGACGAAGCATTCGTTCTGTGGAGCGAGAAAACCAGCGGACTGTTGAAGAGAGAAGTGGCGATGTCAGGCGATCAGAGATCCGCAGAGATGAACGAAGAGAGTATCGTGAAGAAGACCGAAGGGAGAGTAGGCGAGCCGAAGGGGAAAGGGAGCGGGAAAATCTGAGGAGAGAGGAACGAGAGGAAGGAAGAGAATATCGCGAAGCGCAGAGGGAAAATGAACGCGAAGATCTGCGCAGGAGCGAGCGACGAGAGGAAAGAGATGACGACCGCCGTGTGGATAATCTGCAAAGTGAACGAGAGGAACGAGCTAACGATCGTCGAGTTCAGCGAGTGGGTTCCCGGAGAGAAGCAGAAGCAGGCCACCAAAGGGAGAACCTTCGCCGGGAGGAACGGGAAAACCACCGCGATAATTTGCGGAGGGAGGAGCGGCGAGTGGAGCGGCGAGTTGAGCGGCGGGAGGAACGAGAGGATCAACGAGCAGCTCGCATCCCTCTTGGACGAGTGGCTCGTGAGCGCTCGGAGGAGCGAGCTTCCTTGAGCACCCAGATGAGCGCAAAGGGATGGTCGGGCTACGGAAAGCGGGAGCTGCTGATGGCTGCCCAGATCCTCCTCCTCGGCGCTCTGTACAAGAAGTCCACGGCCAGCGGCAAGGGACTCGGGTAAGCACTTGCTGGCGATCCCAGGGGAATCAACCAGCCAACCAGCCAACTGACCAAATCGCTCTTTCAGACACGCCTTGAACAACCAGATCCAGGGCTACTTGCAGGCCATCGGATGCTAATGTGAGCGAGGACCAGAGGACCCAGAATAGGCGAACGGACCGAACCGAACCGAACCGAGCAGAAGGATGGAGTGGAGGCTCCTCCGGAGCATTACGATTTATCCCAGCTGTTACTGTAACCAATACCCATACCCTACTGTTATACCCACGAAAGCATAACGAAAATATACGAGGGATGCCCGGGTAGACGGGCATCCGAAACTGCATTGCAATCCGTGAGCTTCGTGAGCTTCGTTGGCTTCGTTGGCTACCTGAGCTTTGTGAGCTGGCCAGGGGTCATCCTCCTGGCTGGATAATTGGAGCGTCGGCATCCGAGGACCGCAAGTGTCCACTCGCAAGGCCGGCAATCCTTTGACTCCGACATCCATCCTTGGGGCAGCCGCACTCACATGAGCCAGCGAACCCACCCAATCCATCCGAATCCCTCCTCGTCCACCTATTTTTGGCAGCCACAGAAACCGAAACCAAAACCGAAACCGAAACCCAAACCCAAACCCAAACCGAAGCTGAAAGGCAAAATTATTATTGCGATTTTCCATGCCGCTTGCCGTGGTCCTTGCAGCAAGTTGCCGAGCATCCGAGCAACCAGTATCCAGTATCCAATAGGGGTAACCTGTGTGTGTGTGCGTGTGTGCTTGTGCATGTGTATTGGGCTGATAAATTTCGCACATATTAGATGTTGGTCTGGTCTATTCATCTTGCCGGCTTCCGAGAGATTTTCCCTGTTGGGGCCAGCAGCACTTTTTGTGCGGCCGACGGACGAGCGGCAGTAAGCCCTCCTTAATCAGTGAAACCAACACACAAATTTTACACAATTTTCATCTTTTGGGGATTATTCGGGTGTGCTCCACTCGAGTGGAGTTCGAGTGTGTGTCTGCTGGAGTGCCGGATGGCTGGAGTGCCGGAGTGCTGGAGTGCGCACTCGAACCCGTATTCGAACCACACTCGCAAATATCCTAGTGCTGTGTGCTTTGGGTTGCTCCACTTGCTCCATGGCCACTCCTCCGACCCAGAAGGCCGAGCTGGAATTCTGCTGCGCGGTGGCTCCAAGTTGCCCTCGTAACCTTGCGGAGCAGAGGCCTTTTTCAGATGGAAAGCATTGGATCCGGAACTCAAAACATATCCTTTCAGCTGATATATGCCAGTTCTTTGTTCTTTTTGTGCAGGATTTGTTCGTGGTGCTCCTTGCGAAGGATTTTTATTGAATGCGAACTGAGCTGAGCGGATACTTCTGGTTGCTGGCTGAGGATGTGTGAAGTGCCAATACGCAGTGGCTGCGTCACGGGACTCGGATGCAGGGATACCCACGGAGGAGCGACTGGAAGGCAACGGGCCATCGTAAAAAATTGAGTTTTCAATATTTATGCGGACTAAATAATTCAGGGGCAGTGGGCCAGCAAGGGATGCCGCCGAATCCCGGACACCTTCGGCCTTCGTTCGGTTAGGCACGTTCAGATGTTTTCAGGGGAAAGGCGGAAGGGATATGGGATATGGGATATGGGATATGATGTGGGAACACAGAAGCACAGGAAGTAATCGCAACGTGCAAAAAACCCAAGGAGGAAGCTGGCCATTTTAATTGCAATTCCAATGCGTGTGTGTGTGTGTGTGTGTGTGTGTGTGTGTGTGTTTGCCCCGTCTTCTGGCATTTGCCATAAACTTGATAAATTATCAATTTCAGGCGACAGACGCCAGTCGACAGCCGACGGAAAGGCTCCAAAGCTTTGGCACAAGTGACACAAAATAAATAAACGCAATAAGCGAACGCAAACGCAAACGGAAAATGGAAAATGGCAAGTCCTGAAATTGGGAAAAATGGAAAATCGCGGAAATTGCAATCGAAATCCTCCGCAAGTTGGTTGCCATTAAATGTCAAATGACGAGGAGGTGCCAGTGCAAGTGCAAGTGGATGGGGATGGGGCTGAGGATGGGGATGGGGAAGTGGGGCAATGTGCAGTTTAAAAAATTCAAAGCGGTTTACGCTATCAGCGCGGGATTCCTTTCGCCAGGCGAAGGAGTTTCGTTGATAGAACCAGTTGAATTCCCCCCCTTCTTTCCGCTCTCCCCTGGCTGCATAACCACAGCACACCACCCACCTCGGCACCCATGCCGCAGCAGACTTGCAAGGTGCATCACAGATTTTCAAATGTCGGGCATTCAGAGTCTGGATTCGGAGAAAAGCATTTCCGCAGTCCTTCTTGTGCTGTATGCGGGCAGGGCAGAGTCGCCTCGCTTTTCTCCAAGTGTACAACTGCTGGCAGGAGGACGGTGCAATGATTCAATCGCAGTTGTGCAAATAAATTTGCCGCTCACGTTCACGAAAGCCGCTTGCACAAGCATGCAATCATCCTCAAATATTGTCCCAATCCCAATCCGAATCCGAATCCCAGTCCCAGTGGCAGCCCGTCTCCTGGATTTGGGCTTGGATTTCGGATTCTCCATTCTGGATTCTGGATTTTGGATTCCTGGCAGCACGGCGCAATTGAAAGGCGCCCGCATTAGGACTCCGCTCCAGAATCGCATCGCATGGAATCGCATGGAATCGCATCGAATCGCATCGAATCGGACTCGGACCTCGACTTGAACTTGGACGAGTGTTTGTTCGCTGGCCGAGCTGGGATGGGATGCTTACCATCTGACATGGGTCCGCCCGCCTGGGCGGGATTGCGGGGATTACGGGGCACCAGGGGCACCAGGGGCACCCCCAAAGTGGCATCGAATGGGATCCCTCGTGCGGCGTTGCGACCTGTCGACTGTCGATGCCCGCCGAAGCATGAGAAATGTCTGCAATTCAGCACTCTGGCAATGGAGGGGGTGTGGCAGTGGGCGAGTGTGTAAGTGGGTGAGTAAGTGGGCTTCCAGGGTGCGGGATGGTCCACCCTAAACGACGCCGGGCAAAGTCAATTTAGTGAAAATGCGAGGCAGCAAGTGAAATGTCATAGCCAAGTGGTCGGGCAGGCGTGCGACCTTCCACCCCATCCAACCCAACAGCCAGCACCACCCCACCCCACCCATCAGCTGTCAGTGTCAGTGGGCCACATGCTGTCGCCTCTCCCCCCCTCTCCCCGCCCCTCCTGCTGCTCCCTTTTACGAGCAAGTGGCGCTCTGGCTTCGAAAAAGAATCCCAATTCGAGCGCCTCCCCTCCCCTTCAGCAATTGCAGGAACGTGCATATGCAGAAGCAGCGCTTCGGAAGGGCGGCAAGAGCGGAGGAGGCGGGGCAGGCGGGGCAGGGGGAGCGGAGTCCAAATGGCTTTTAATGCTGCGTGCGTTCGGTGTAATTGCCATATAATGCTGCGGTCGGCGGTGCTTCTCCGGTGGTTCCATGGTGGTTCCATGGTGGTTCTATGTGGCCAGCGCTGCACGGCGACAGCGATGAAAACGCAATTCGAAATGCGCAAACAGCCACGCCCCCGCCCTTTCCCCCGCCCCCACCACTCGGATTTCGAGCTTCCACGCACTGCGTGACCTGAAAAGGGATGAAGTGGGAGGAGGTGGAGCAGGGGGAGGAGCAGAGGGAGCAGGGGGAAAGGAGCGGCAAACGAATTGAAAATGGCATCATCTAAACACGCAGAAATGCCGAACGAAATCTGCAGGCGAAGAGATAAAGATACAGACACTTTCTGTTGGTTCCTGAAAATTAGATGCATTGAAATTAGTTCATATACCCATTGGCCCATTTGTTTGTTGGCTCTCCAAAGGGCGTCGGGCCATCCGTGGATTTTCGGACGGAGCCACAATCCGCTGATGAATTGTATTTGGCGCTCCCTCTGAATCGCTGATTGGTGATTGGCCGGGTCAAAATGCAGAGGTTGAGGTAGAGCGTCCAGTTGCAGTGGCTAATATAAAGGTGTTGACGGACTGCGACATGGCTGCACTAATTACATGGCCAAATCGAACGAAACAGTACACCACAGACCTCAATCGAGGCATGCATTGCAGTCGCAGTTAATTAAACGCGAAAGTGGGCGCCGGCAGAGGGGACCACTCACCACTCACCAGTCACTAGTCACTAGTCACTAGTCATCAGTTACCAGTCATCAGTTACCAGTAACCAGTCACCAGTTTTAGGCTCCTAAGCTTGGCTTGCAGCAGCGATGCTGCATGTTGACCCCTTGACCCTGCAAAACAATTCACGGAGCAACAGGGCTGAGGAAGATGTTATATATGCAACTATAGTTATACAGTTGCACTCTGAGGAGAAAGGGATTTTCATTACTCAAACTAATATGCAGGGTAAATCATCAGATGGGAGAATATATATTATTTTTTGAACAGAAGCGAAGGCGTCCCAGGTAAGGGAAGCAAGTCCTGCGGCGAATTCGAAAAGCTTGCAATCGGATTTGGTGGAGGAGGAGTTCTTGGCCCCTTTTCGGATTTAAGTAGAGGGAGATCCACACGCTGTCAGAAGTTGGAGGTTGCCAGTTGGCAGCATTTACTTCATTGTGGTTAACACTTTTCGCTCGCAAGACGCCACCCCTCCATCCCTCCATCCCAGCACCACTCCGGCACCCGTTCCTCCAAGGAGCCAGCTCTCAGCCCCACCAACACCACCAATCCTCTCGGGCTTAGGACTTCCTGCGGGTGTTGCAAAGTTGTGCGGCACGGCTGATGTATGCTCATACAACTTTGCCACTAACGACGAGCTCGTGATCTGCATAGCAATGAGCCAAAGCCCCCCTGTTCGGCGTGTAATCCTCGAGGTTCGTGGGGCGATCGCCCCACCGTCTTGCACCACCCCCTCCTTCCCTCCGATGCAGCCACCTCGCATCGAGTTAATAGCTCGGCCATCACAGTAACCATAACCATAACCAGCCTGTCAACGGACTCCCCGGACTTCGAGGAACACACAACACAAGCTGAATCACAAGTGGAATTGCGAATTGTTTCCAGCATGAACTTAGGTTCTTGTTGTTAGTCGAATGAGTCACAGTGCAGCAGGCACTCTCCTGCCACCTCAACTTGCAGCTGTTCAGCTGTTTAGCTGCACTTGGCGAGTGGCAATTAGTTAATTTATTTTTTCTGCGTGCACGGGCGATTTCAAGCCGTTTGAGGCTATTTAGCGAACACCCAGTGGAGCCGGGGGATGTGGGGCTGTGAACTTTTAAATCAGACCGAAGCAGGGCGATGCAGGGCTGCCCCAAACCGAAAACCCAAAACCCGAAACCCCTTGAAAGCCGCCACAGCCCCCACTAGAACTCAGGCCA